ACCTGCACACTTTGTAAATGATGTATTGCTTACGGTTACAAAGATATGTTTGATGTCATCTAAACTTGTTATCCTCTGTTTACAAATCACTCCACATGCTATATTACGGCAAGTATTCAAACACCGGTCAGAAAAGCAAAATTCTCACCTTCCAAAGTTATAGTTTATATATCAAATTACTGTAGCTACAGATATCAATGTATGATGCCAAAGATCATACATTTCGTGATGTTTTGTATCATCGCTAGGTTTAATAAGGACAGTTGGCTCCAATGTTGAAATGTGACATTGAACCCAAGTTAGAGGATGGTCTGTTGACTGTAACACATTTTAGTTTCCATAGGAATCAATATAGGATTTAATTCCAAAACTGCAATATTGATTCCTCCTAACAGAGGTTTGGCTCTTGGGTTTAAAAGACTATGTATGATGAGAAATTCCTAGATCTTTTGGTTTGTTCTTTTTAACCCCTTAAGGACACATGACATGTGTGACATGTCATGATTCCCTTTTATTCCAGAAGTTTGGTCCTTAAGGGGTTAAACATTCTACTATTGAGATAACCAAGTCTTAGATAGAGAACGATATTTCATCCAGCCCTACACAAAAAAACAAAAAACAAAACAAACATATAAAAAAAACACCACCACCACACTGAGTTGTTAAAACTAATCATCGACACAGATGATCTGAGAAGAAAAATAAATTAAATTACACATAAAATAATTTTACATTAGATGGTTATTAACATGAAAGATGCTAAATTTTAAAATGCGGTTAATAAAATAAAAAATAAAATAAAATATGCAAATCAATAAAAAAAAAAAAAATTAAACATCCTGTCCTCCCCAAAAACAAAAACAAAAAAAATTAAACAAAAAATGTAAAAAAGGTGATTATGTACATACGGATCATATCTGAGTTGAAATGAAAGGCACGGCCTATACCTTTACTTTTAGGTATCAGCTTGGGTCTGAATCCCATGGACGGGTTGAGAGTTGAAAAGTTGATAGCGGTTGTGGAGAAGGCCATAGATCCCAAATCATTTCTCCTTTTCCCGGTAGCAACATCATCAGGACCCTCCAGATTCTCAGCACTACCTGTCCACTGTCCACCTGCCAGGACCATGGACTGCACCAGGTCATTCATGGCTGGGATGCAAATGAAAGCAAATGAATCAGCATGACATTCAGCGTCTCTTGTGGCCAACTTTAGTATTACAGCCATTCAAGCATTAGAAGCCAACTGCAGCTCATATAGCTAGCACTCACAAATCCACTTAATTATACAACATGCATTCTTTTGAGAATGATAAGCATGGGTGATCTAGGCCACGCATGAAGTTGCACACAACATGTGGCTTTTTGCACTGTTTCTTTTTAAGCTTGCTGTGGAGGAAGGCCATGTTATTCCAGCAGTGATGAGCAGCATAGCTTGCAAACAAGGTATGTCGCTTAAAGATGATGAAATGGTAGGGCATGGTAAAGCTAGCAGACGCATGTTAAACCGTCTGCTACCAAAGAGGGAAGTAACACACTGCTCAGCTATGGGACGCAGTCGTCTTTGGTAGCAGGCCAGTTATCTTTTAATTAGCAATGAGAAAGGGGGTCCATGGCCAGTGCAGGTTACTGCAAGAATACAGTGTATTGCACAACACTGAATAAAAAGCTTACACAAAGTCGTAGTGTTAGAAACGGTGCTTCATATAGATTATAGCTTTACCATAACAATTAAAAAGCAAAAAAAACAAACAAAAAAAAAAAATATTACCCCAACATGAATTAGGCACTGCTGTTTGAAAAAAAATAGTAAAATTGAAAATAACTAAAAAAAAAAATTCATAGAAAGCATTAAAGTGAACAAAATAAATAATTGAAATTTATAAAATCAAAAGTGGGTTTAAAAAAAATTTAAAAAAAATTGTTTTATAGCCTCCTAATTTACCACATACTGTTGCTTATATTATACAGTTAATCATTTTAAATAATGAAAGCAGGACCTAATAACCTCAGGATTTTTCAGCGATAACGGAACTGCAACCACCGCCAATTTCTGGCTCGTCTGGCTGACTTTTATGGTAGTTGCAAGTAGGGACAGAAAATCTGCAGCACGACATGGCTGTTCTAGATTACATTTCCCATCAGTCTCAGCCAACCACTGCTTGGGAGTTGTAATCTCATACAGCCTGTCCCTGGTTATTGGCCATTTAATGGCTTACATTTGGTACTTTAGTCTGACTTAGCATCACAGGAAACTTTGCTTGCAGCAGGTGCTCCAAAAAGTTAGCCACGGAGGCCAACCAATCGCCCCACCCTTGCCATGAAGCAGACAATTGCCAGCCTTTGAGATTCATAGTCCTTGGAGCAGAGTTTGCACAGAAGGATAAAGAGCGCAGTCAGGGAAAGCTTGTGAAATATTAGTAATGGAAGCTGGTGCGGCTAGTTGAGAAGAACTGAACTGTTTTAAATTCTTACACACGGAGCGGCGGTAGAGAGCCTTCATTTTGTCTTTTTCCTTCGGTCTGTTCCTCATAAAAGGCAGCCTTTTCAGAGCAACCACTTATGTCACAGCATGGGAAGAAAGAAAAAAAATCAAAAACGAGAAGAAACAGGAAAAAAAAAAAAAACAGGGGAATGGGAAAGAGAAGGGAGAAAAAACATATGGAAGAAGTTAAATGCTGAAACAAAAGACAGAAATGATCATGTCTGATTTTCAGCTAAGCATGCAATCCTAAACAAAGACAGACTGGTACCAGGGTGGATGGACATGGCATGAGATGGACGTCTCACAATGAACAGAGAACACTTGGAATTAAGAGGAGCATCACAAAAAAATAATTAAAAAAAATGGAAGATTAAAAAAAATAAAATAAAAATCAAATGACTCTAAATTATGTGAAATTATTGTTGCAATTGCACAGTTTTAGTGGCACTTGTGACAAAGTGTGTAGTAAAATTAAAGATTACTAGTAAAACTCCCACAATGAAGCCACTAGTTTGAATTAATATTTCTCTCTATTTTATAAAAAAAATGTATTTTTATCTCCAATGGATTTATTTTTTTACGCTACATCCCACTTTGTTAAAATTAATTTTTTTACTTTCAAAATACAAAATTATGGAGAAAAACATTATTTATTCAAGCAGACATACCAAGGTTTACTAGCACAGAAGACATTGAGAAATGACCAGTACTTGGAAACTTTAACCCAAAAATGCCAAGTTGGAGAATATTTTTTTTTAATTACAGGTCTTTTGTCTCAGAGCTTGCAAAGTCATTGTTAATTTTCCACAATCCCTTTTTTGGTATAAACATCAATATACGTTCTTTGCATTAAATAACGTTACCATTAGCTCAGATCCTAATTAAGCCCTCTAGTTCCCTATATACAAAAATAATATACATCTACTTTCTTAAGAGTTCTTCATCATCTACATTTTTACATCTGCATTTACCTTTTTGGGCAAAAGGTAAAAAATAACTACTTTGTGTTGAACCAACCTTTATGGCCTCCCAGAGCAACTTCTATTTCACAAACCAGACTCTTGACCTCTCTTCTGCTACTTTTAAAACATGTTGCTTTGTTGGTGTCCCCCCACTTGGCCCTTCCTGGGGTGTTTTTATATCCTACCTCCTCTAGACTGTAAGCTCGCTTAAACAGGGTCCTCCTCGACCTATTGTTCTTGGAACATTTTGTAATTATCTCATTTATTGTTAAATTCCCCCTTTTAAAATATTGTAAAGCGTTACGGAGATGGCGCTATATAAATGCCAATAATAATAATAATAACAACAACAATAATTATCTCTAAATTTGCTTGTAGCTCTGAAAGTAAAATCAATTCACTGAAAATCATTGCCCCAGCTGCTTCGAGAACTAAATTAAAATAGGCTTTATTTAATGAACTTTAAACTATTGAAAAGGGATTGCAAAAATGTGCCGTAATGTTTCAACTAATATTGTTGCATAAGCTTTCCAAATAATTTATTATTTTTGGATATACTTTTAAAAACATTAACATTATAAAAATTATTTTAACATTGTAATATTTTTATATAGATTATTTGATATTTTAATATGTTGAAAAAAACAAGTACTGCATTGGTGAAATTTTTTATTTTACTAGACAGATACATAAAATACCAGTTATTTGGTAAGCAATGCCTAAAATTAATGTTGCTGGACCCTTTTCTAAAATCCCCAAATTCTAATATATCTATCCTAAACCATATCATAACCTCCTCTTTAAATGAAAATTCCTCTTTTTGTACCCAGCACCATAACCACGAAAGCACCCTTCAGATACCCGTACAAGGTATGTACAACCAGTGGTGTGAAAATAATTAAAATAAATTAATGTAAGCACTATTTGTGTGTGTGTGTGTGTGTTTTAAAAAAACCCAAAACAAAACACACACCAAAAATGATGCTTACATTAACATGCTCAGCCTAAAAGCACTGGAACAGTCAAGTTTAGTCAGTTTTTCCACTGGAACAGGTATGGAAAATGCCTAAATCCTGGACCATTGATTTGTCTAGAGTCTAATTCCTGATGAATAGGCTCTGCATGAGGACATCCAGCCTCAGTCAAATTCCCATAGGAAAGCATTGCAGCAATCGGGTAAGTACGATAAGGGTTTATTAAACTTGACACTGCCGTGTAAGCAGACTTTTATTTCAGAGAAAATATCTATCGGTATATGGCCTCTTTAGTGGAACAGGTTTAAATCCAGCTGCATTATTTTGGTTATATATAAAGTCAGAATGTGCCCTTTGACGGTTTTCCTTTTATTTCTGTCTTTATGGACAGGGTCAGCGAAGTCATGTACACCTGTGAGCACACTACGTAACCCAGGAAGCAAACCCTTCCCCAAATCTATGTTGTATCCAGTTACTCTGCATCCTGTAACAGGATATCCACTTTTGGCAGCTCCTCCTAACAGTCACAATTTTTAGGTTCTAGTTCTGGAGCCCTGGTTTTGTCCCTGGTGTCCCACATCCATGACGGGTGGGGTGAGCCACCAGTGACACCATTAAAGGCATCACCTGTGACGCCACCTGTCCCAGTTTCATATCAAAGTTGTAAGGTATGCCTACGAGAACTCACCCCCTAGCCTCTTTTGGATAAAAATAGTTATGTAGGACAAAACAAAAAGTAAAGCATCACCTTACTGTATGGCTTTGAACTGAATTTCCTGGGGAGTGTTACCGTGCTGCCTGAGATTGGTGGGAGTTACAATTCTGGGTAGCAGCTACTTAGGATGCCATCATTAAAATGGCAGCAGGTATCACTTGGGAGTGTTACTCAACACTAATCTAAGGCAGACTAGAACATTATGCCCTGGCCTGCCTGATATTAGGGTCCCCAAACTGCTCAGACGTGGGCAGTGCTTTATGAACCATTCTTAAGGGACAGACCACATAAAATATAAATATATATTTTCGGTGTGAAACTGAGTCTATGGTGAATATTAAAACCATCTGCAAGGTTCTGCTAGGCAGCACGTTTCCGGTGATGTAATTTTTGCATGAATCATAACCAGAAATGTAATGATCTGTTTAGTGGAAACTACAGCTGGCTATATTGTATAATGTGAGAACAAGACATTAGATATAAATGTATACCACGTTTTGTGTAGTAAAGATATACTAACCAGGGGGTGTGGGTGTACGCTGGGTGGCAGGCTGCAAGGGGGTGTACAGAGCACCCTGCTCTGAGGCTGGGAGCGGGGATGCGATGCCACCCCAGTGCCTAGTATCAGTACAGAGTGCTGGGAGCTGTGCAATCAGAGACCACAGTTATCATGTTCCACTCCAGCTTTCCACCCAGCAAAGGTAGGAATGGGAGGCTGGGTGGACATTATTATAATACAAAATAATTCAAATTTAAATTAATTATGTGTGAATGATTGTGTATATGTGTGTGTGCAATGACATCCAAACTGGCATGGAACAAGGAGACCTAACTGGAGCTATTTTCCTTGATTTTACCAAGGCATTTGACACAGTAGACCACGACATTCTTTTGCAAAATGGGGGGGTGATGGTGTGAGGGAGAGGGGGGCGATGGTGTGAGGGAGAGGGGGGCGATGGTGTGAGGGAGAGGGGGGGCGATGGTGTGAGGGAGAGGGGGGCGCGATGGTGTGAGGGAGAGGGGGGCGCGATGGTGTGAGGGGGGGGCGCGATGGTGTGAGGGGGGGGTGATGGTGATGCAGGCGGCCGTTTTTAAACTGATTTAGGGCGGCTTGGGGGGCATTTGCCTCCCTGTCCCCTGTCCCAGCCCGCCTCTGTGCCATGTACAGAAACAAATCCTGCCTAAGCACTACAGTAAGGAAACAGATAGTGCAACAAATGCTGGTCATTGATTATGGGGGTGTCGTTTATGCACCAACATCGCAAACCCACCTTAATAAACTTAATATGTTATATATTTCATTCTGCCGCTTTGTACTAGAATGTAATTAATTAATTACTTTACCCACCATTGTGACGTGTTAAAAGAGCTAAACTGGCTATTGCTGCAATCCCGTATATTATATATTTGTAATATTGTCTCCTATTGTAACAATCCAATGTTTTGTGGACCCAGGACATACTTGAAAACGAGAGAAATCTCAATGTATCCATCCTGGTAAAATATTTTAGAAATAAATAAATTGCAATTTGCAGAGGATTCTGGGCCAGTAAATTCACGGTTGCCAATTACCTGCCAGGAACTACACAACAATTTCATGTTTGAAAAGTTTGCCAATATATACACATTTACATAATTATTTGGACGGCAGAATGTAGAGACAAAATAAGCCATTAAAACAGGACTCTCCTGTTATGTATAACAGAATCCCTTTAGCTGTGAGTGTAGATGGCAGATCTATCAAGGAGATCTGTCTCACACACATCTGTGAGAAGATTTTTACATACAGCAAGCAACAAAATCACAGACATGCACACTCTTTGCCCCTCCCTATTGTGCCCAGATTTCACACCTCTGTGTTCTGGAGATGCATATACGCATTTGGATTTCTCTCCCTGAACGAACACAACTTTTGGAAATCACAGCAAAGGTAGGTATTTGCATATTGAGCAGTAAAATTAAAACTATTTAACACTGTAGCACTCACCCAGTTCAGTCTGCAGAGGTAATTTAAAGGGACACTATAGTCGTCAAAACAACTTTAGCTTAACAAAGCAATTTTGGTGTATAGATCATGCCCCTGCAGTGTCACTGCTCAATTCTCTGTCATTAAGGAGCCAAATCACTTTGTTTATGCACACTGTCCTCCATGTGACTTGCACAGCCTCCCTAAACAGAGTCATCTAATGTTTACACTTCCTTTTTTCCCAAATTCTGTTTAATTTAGAATTTCTTATCTCTTGCTCTGCTAATAGATTGTTAGAAACTGCAGGAGCCTCCTGTATGTGATTCAAGTTCAATTTAAAGAGCAGGAGATAAAAACTTTTAAAGTAAGCTACCATCTGATTGAAAATGATATTTTGTTTTCATGCAGGCTGTGTCAGTCACAGCCAGGGGAGATGTGACCAGGGCTGCATAAACAGAAACAAAAGCCCAAATGGCAGATACTTTATCTATACACCAAAACTGCTTCTTTAAGCAAAAGTTGCTTTGGTGACTATAGTGTCCCTTTAATTTTATAAATTCATCTGTTTACGGTCTCCCAACACTATAAGTCTAACTTTTTACTAACAAACACGCTATCAATTATTAGAACCTAAATTGTGACAATTCCACTCTAGATACGTTACTATCAAACAATGCTGCTTGATTAACATCCTCTGGACTTTGTCTATACGTGACCTTTTTCTTCCTTAAAGAAATATCTCTGATGCAAACATAACGCACACAAAGACATAAAAAGAATTCCCTCAAAAAGCAGAAAAAAAAACTCTGAAGTAGATTACACATGAGGAACAAGTTAACGTACTGATTACACAGCAGATCCACATTATAAAACATATGTGTATGACATACATTGCTCTGGAACAATTAATATGTATGCCAAAGACAGAAAATGAGTACATTAACAATATGTAAAAATAGACAAAATCCAATACCTCACTAACACGAGCAATAAATATAGACAGTATATCAGTAGCCTTGTGTACAATAAAATATGAAGGAAAACACAAACATCATTGTTATAAATACATACATACATTTATAAAAGAGTAGAATAACATTTGTTGCTAGTTTCAATCTATAACCAGCGTATATTTGTTCTTACCCAACTAAATGTTACTTATTTTATCAAGTTTGGAGGGATGAAAGACTGGATGGGAACGGAACCTTTGAACCTCGCATAATACAGATAGAGTACTAGACACAGAGATGTGTCACCGTTTTAATTTAGAAGTAGAGTTAAAAGTCAAGAACCAACCAAATAACGGACACCATTATCTATATGCTCACAATAACTGCAGAAATGTTGGTTTGAGCCCATCATTGCATCATTTAATTAACCAAATGGATGTACCTATGATCTATGTTAAATACCCCTCCGTCACTTGAGAGCCATCTTAAATGCATTCAGTGTCTTACAGTCATCTGGATGGTTCCTGACTCGTGATTTACCCTATATATCTTCATTGTTTCATTTTACATCGACATTGTAAGGTGTCTTTAAAGGGTTACTCTAACCATTTTTCCCCACAATGGACGTGCCCTATTGGGCATAATAATTTAGGTCCCCCCTTGCTTTAAAAAAAAAAAGTAAAAAAGCTTCTACTTACCTAGAATCCAGCGCCGCTTTCCGTGCCTCTTTGTGTCAAGATGGTAGATGCTCCAGGTCCAATCACAGGCTTCTCATGAAGAAGCCGGTGACTGGACCATTTTGCTGGCTCAGAGCACATGCGAGGGAGATCAATCTTCCGCTTGCAGACGCTCTGCCTCCAAGAGAAGATCACATCTGTTGGCAGCGTGCAGTGCGCACTGATGACACATATTGTATGCACAGAATTGACATTAAGCAGCCCGGTACAGAGTTCTCGGCTGCCAATGTAATGTGTGCTGGGGGTGCAACAAGCTCCCAGCAAACAATTGCAAATTACTCAGTATGTGCAGTGTTTCAAGCTAAAACACTGCACATACATACTCATACCACCATGACCACTTCAAATCATTGGTTGGAGTAACCCCTTAAACTGTAATATATGGTCTACAGTAGTGGATTGGCACAGAGTGGTGATAAAGATAGTGACAGATCATGTTTCCAAGTGGCTTTTGAAGTAAAGGCAATATATATTAACATTAGGAATTCATTAAAATTACAACCAAAAAATATATATTTATATTCACCCACTGAATAGTGGAAGATAGAGTTATGAATTCTGTGTATGACTAAGTGTCCCATGAGGACTTTTTAGTCAGGGTCTCACAAAGCATCATTAGAATAGTAGTTCAAGTTAGTGCCTGATAGATGTCCAATGGCTGTGATGGGGAACTGTTAGTTGTCTGGGTTTTGAGAACTATGTTTCCCATGCTGATATAACAGCTGGACGCCCAATGGTTCATTCATCAATAGCTTGGAGCAATCAATGCAGGGAAACCGATGTATGATCGATAATAGGACAAAACCATAATACTCACTGCTGCTCTTCTTGGCACCGAGTGGATGTCCATCCTCGAGAGAATTTGAACCAATAGATGAACTATCTTGGCTGTCTTGCAGAGGAAGCTGTAGGAACCCTTCGCTGGACTCCGAACGAGAAGGTGCATGTGTGAGCGACCTCAGACGTTCTCGATTGCCATCTTTCTTAGACTTGATTAGCTTTCTCATTTTTAGCGTTATCCAGTTTCCTCTTCTTAAAAAGACATTTTCATTAAAAATAAAACTTAAACATTTCTAAACATAAGTGAGCTGCTCACTGTCCCCGAATCCCATATAATCAAGCAACTGCAACCTCTTCAACTCCATTCAAACACGGACCCCTGTAATAACTTTGTGTACTAAAAGAAACCCACCAAATGCAGTGTGATGATGGATGTTAGAGAGGTGAAATTAATTGATTAATGTTGGTAAATTTACATAAAAACATTAAAAAAGGGTATGGGAAAAAATACCAGATAGTAAAAAATGGGCACATTGGTAAACGTATTGTCAAATTAGATAATTTAAAGACAAGTTTATAATTTTTTTTTTTTTAAATGCACTGTTGATTTACAATAAAAACAAAAAGTACATGATAAATACAAACTGTGTGATACATTCCAACACCCACCCAGCACATTCCAGAGAGCATTTTTGCCGGGGAGCTCTGGGATACATTCACGCACACTGCACGTTGAGTCTAATTGCTGGGGAGCTCTGAGATGCATGCATGCACACCACACTTTATTGCTAGGGAGTTCGGTGATCAGATCACACACATCAGACATGTGGAGCTCTGTGACTTTATACATTTATAGAGTTTTCAATAACAGGAGCTATTGTCAAAGAGCTATGTAAGATTATAACCATTTTGGGGCTTTGCCCCTTATAAAACAGACCGTTAGCTTTGTAAATAGTGCTCAATAAATTATTAATTTCAAATGAACTGATCCTGAAACATTGTGATAGATCGTGCAAAATTAGGAATTTATTAACCATTTAGGCTTTGTTTATTCAGGCCACTTCTCACATGTAGTTTTTATTAAGTTACCTTCTTGGAGGAGATGGCTCATAGAATTTGTACTGGTCCATGATCTTCTCTTCTAGTTTTTCTTTCTGACGGCGAAGCTCGTTCAATTTATCACTACAAAAATAATAACTTACAATGTTTTTACCCCAGCATTCATCTCCATCTAACAGCTATCAGAGCTGGTCCATCTGAAAACAGTTTTTGCTCCACAAATGATAAACCTCACACTCTCTTGTATCCTGAAGCACATTTAAGAAAATATATGCAACATACTGAGGATTAGGAAAAGGAATTAGGATTAGGAAAAGGCAAGGAAAAGGCTCTAAAATGAGATATATCTAATTACAATTACAGCGCCAACATACTCCCCCACCGCTATACTATAGCTAAACAAGACCAACTATCAATTTCAACAAAACATGTTTGCTATACAGGAACAGTAGGTGAAGAGTGCCCACCCCAAACAAACTTAAAATATAAAGTGATAAACTATATAATAGTGGACACAGGAGACATTGATGCATCTTGTCAACCAAATTCGTACTGGCTAACCTAAGGCTAACGAAAAGACTTCCATCATGTCCCAACTATGACGCAATGTTCTCTGAAGAAGAAGCCTAGTCTAAGTTTGGAGAACAGGTGCGCTAGATCTGAATCAGTACATTTCTACAGTCACAATGGTCCAGACACAATAGTAATGCTCATTGCTGGTACTTACATGTACTGTCTTTGCTCAACATGGAAAAGATCTTTGCTCTCCATGTTTTGCTCCAGCAAGGTCCTATTCTGCAACATTAATGTCTGTATTTGATCTAAGAGATGCCGGTTTTCTTCTTCCAAATTTCCCTTCAGCTGGCTCAAAAGCTGTGCAAAAAAAAAGTAGTAAATATAGATACTGAATAAAAAGTGGCATTCAAAATCCAAATTCCACTGGAAGTGAATCCACAGAACTAAATAATATATCACTTTATTTTAATTATATTATATAGTTACACGCACAACAAAAATAAAACCTAAGTCCAACCAAACATGGGACATGTGGGAAACAGAATTGAAGAACAGAATATAGCAGAGACAAGAGATGATACCTGAATTTGGAGAATAGCTTGTTTATGGATGTTTGACAACCCTTACTCTAGAACATTAATATTATGATATTTATAGAGCGCCATCAAATTCCGCAGCGCTTCACAGTGGGTGGACGAACAGACGTAGTTGTAACCAGACAAGTTGGACACACAGTAATGGAGGGGTTGATGGCCCTGCTCAATGAGCTTACATGCTAGAGGGAGTGGGGTAAAATTACACAAAAAGGTAAGGATAGTATTAGACTAGTGACATTTGCAGAAGAGGAATCAGTCAGGAGCTATTAACAGTTTAATTGATACACTTTTATGAATCAGTGGGTTTTTAACAATTTTTTGAAGGAGTGGAGACTGGGAGTGTCCCTTTTATCAGAAATAAAGATTTTCCCATTATTCCTTAGAATAGGACGCGTTACATATTCACTTTAACTCATGAGTATGTTTTGTCATATGTAGAAGACAAAGCATCTACAGAGATGTAATATCCGCCAAATCTCACCTCACATTGGTTATTTAGTTTAGTGGACGTTATATCCAGTTGTTGATATTGTTCCTTTAGTTTGGAAAATTCAGCCTCTAACCTGGTATGTTCCAGTTTACCGTTGTTTAGCAAACTTTTCATGTTCTTATGGTCACTTTGGAGACTTTCATTCTCTCGCAAGAGCTGTCTGTAGGTGTGGTTTAGCCTGGACGTATTCAGAAACAGAAAAATAAAAAGACATTGGACCACATATCACACGTTTAGGAGAGAACCAAACAAGACTGATAATAATACAATACATCAATATGAGGGATGCCAAACTTTTTATTCATCTAAACTCCTCTCACCTTTTGTCTTCTAGACCAGAGTTGCTAAGTTTATATTGGGTGGGCCTTAGAACCCACCATAATAATCTCGACCTGGACTTTCTGTTACCCTGCCGTGTTTTACATTAACATAGCAATCATATAAAGTTGGTCGGAAGTCTGGTTTAAAGATACTCAAACTCCGGCCCTCCAGATGTTGCTGAACTACAACTCCCATGATTCTCTGGTTATCTAGGTAATTCAAAGAATCATGGGACTTGTAGTTCAGCAACATCTGTAGGGCCACAGTTTGAGGACCCCTTGGTTAAGGAGTTGCTTTAATGGAAACACTAGTATTTTACACACATCAGACTGTGAATTCTGTACGAACTATCGACTCCTCAGAGCTCGTAAATGTAAAATATACAGTAACTTTAGTAAACTTGACTTTCAGCATCTTCTACAGCATAGAATTAGAAAAAAATAAATCATGTAATTGGTTAATAAGGGATTTAAAATCAAATTGTGCAACCCTGGGAAATATACCGACTGTTTTAAAAAAGAAATAAAAATGTACGATCAGTGTTTTTCTTCTTTTTAAATGTTCATAGAATGCACATTATAACTTAAAACTAGAACTACATTATTTTCTTTACATTTGGAATGTAATGCTTCTTGAACATGGATCATGCATTCCAGCTCAATTGGGAATTCCTAATCTCACACCCATGCTGGGAAAGATAAAAGACCTCAGATCTTTTGCACAAGGCTAAATTAGGAGGCACACATTTCCTTTTAGAAGGTTCAGCCTGTTCTACAAATGTGGCATGAAATCTCAGCAAGCCAAACACACAGTTTAATTAAAATGATCTGTAGCTCTGCTTACTGGTGGTACAGCCATGAATTTAAAGGCGCAGACTCCCCAAGGAGAACTCATTTATCACGCACAGGTTTAAGATAAAACATAGCAGTTACTTTCACCTCACTAAGGAATAAAGAGATTTTTTTTCAGTAGAAACACAATACACTTCACAAGAACACCTATGTTCTCTTAACCTCAATGGCAGATCACTTATACTAGATACGTGCACAGAAAGAATTAACGTTTCGCCTGATAATTTTCGATCCTGCTGGAATTAGTACATTGATCGATTCAGTTTGTATTAGAGAAAAGAAACAAAAACAAATAAAAAATAAACGGAGGGTTTATTACAAATATACGGACGTGGGGATGTCAGGGCGGGATCAACAGAGATGAAGGAAAGTCGAGAGGGCTCTGATTGTACTTATAGTCATGCGCTCAGAAGAAATGACAGACTGGCACCAAACAAAATTTGTTAATTTATTAACAGGTATCCGTCTTAATTTATTTTTCGATTTGTCTGAAAATTATGCACATGCCTGATTTATAAACTAGCCTACAGTTTTATGAATTATACAAAACAAGCATTTTGATCAAAATATTTTTAATACCAAAAGATCATATAGGAGAACATTAAAAGAAACTGAAAGTGGTTTAAAGAGCGTAAATCATTTTTTTTTTTTGCTCGCTTAAATATAATTTTACTTCATTAGCCTAATCACACAAAATTGTTTACATTTAATCAAACTGATTTTGTTTAACAACTAAAAGTGGTTTCTTGGTAGTTTTGATTAAACAATTCCCTTTTTGGAGTTCTGATTATCACAGTTCAAGCTTCTTTAAGTTTAGAGACTGGCTACGGTTTATCTCCTCTCCACCAGTCCCAGCTAAAGTCAGTTACAGCAGCTACATCATGTAAATACAAGCTAATTCTCTGCATGACCCATTCATTGTGGGACAGAAAGTTCACCAAATTCTGTAAGTCACAAGTTGTCTAGCCTGCTAATGTGGAATATAAGGCAATGCCAGTCATGTAAAACATGCAAGCAAAGATGTAACAAAAATACTAGGGTCTACTGACAGTGTATGCCAGAGGCACCTTTGGCATTCCAGGTGCTGTGGACTACATCTCCATCGATGCTTTAACAGCCATAATGCTGGAAAGGCATCAGGGGAGATGTAGTTCACAACTTCTGGAGTACCATAGGTTGCCCATCCCTGGTTCTATGCCATCAGAACAACATGTTCTCACAGGATTGTATTCAAAAATTGAAAAACCCACTTTATTAACAGCTTTAATACTACACGGAACTGCCAAATCGAGGACCTTTGGTCCTTCAAGGGTTAAAGAAGACATGATTCGGAGAAAACAAAACATGGCAAAAAAAATACCACAAAAAAACCCAGACATCAAAAGCAATATATTATTTTAAATCCAAAATGAAACCAAAACAATGACCGTGTTTTTACAAAGCAAGCCATGAAACATTAGAAAAGACACAGACAGAACATTTATTTCTCTCTTCCTGTATATAAATGTGGCCAGTGACCTGTCGTTCCTCCTCTCCCTTTATGTGAAATATTCAATATGACTCAGGCCGTGGTTTACAAGCCAAAGGAAAGAGCAGCTGTATGATATAAGCTCCTAAATAAATCACACGCGTGTAAGACACTGCGTCCCGCTGGCCTTCTTGCTCTCTGCTGGAGATTCTACATTTATTTATTGTGATAAGCAAGAAAACAACCAGCATGAGATGCATTATTAGCAAAGTGTTACACTACGAGTACCAAGTCCTGATGGAAACAGCACCTATGGCAGCAAACGGCTCATTGCCGTGATAGGTTTGGGGGATTGGAGGATTCGTGGTGTATAGATTTATTTTGACATTCTCACATGCATTGCATCTTTTATGACTGGCACCACATCCACTTGCACACCCATCTTTATATCTCTGTATATCTCACTCTTACTCCATCAAGATTTACACAGAACGGATTATTCAGTATTAATGTCGTCTCACTGGCTGGCCCCTCACAGTATATCACTGCAGCTCTACCCCTCACTCAAATGCATCACAGAGAAACTCCATGTGTTATGGACTACATCTACCATAAGGCTTTCCCAACCATTATACGCTGGCAAAGCATCATGAAAGTTGTAATCCACCACATCTGGAGTGCTGAAGGTTGTCTATCGCTGCTCTAGATACAAATGCACATCTCCTAAGTGTTTATATTTAGGACGGACAGTCCCTATTTTGGGCCTGAATCCATCTGTCCCTCTTTTCTAGGAGCTCCATATTGTTGATGTTTGAGTGTATAACAGAGCTCCACAGCAATAATACTCTGTCTTTAAAGTACAATAAATGTGCTTAAAGGAGCACTATAGTGCCAGGAAAAGAAATTTGTTTTCCTGGCACTTTAGGGTTATTAGGTCCCCCCCCCCCTCCCGCTAGGCTGAAGGGGTTAAAACCCCTTCAGCCACTTACCTTAATCCAGCGCCGGGCTCCCTCGGCGCTGGTGACCTCTCCTCCCCCTGCCCCCGCCAGAGCCGAGCACGCATTCAAACTGCCCATAGGAAAGCATTACTCAATGGACTTCCAGTGTGTCTAGAATTGCGGAAGCGGCCTCTAATGAGTGTCAGGGAGACAGTTTCTAGAGGCTGGATTAACCATCAATGTTTACAGCTGCAGGGTTAAAAACTAGGGGGACCTGGCACCCAGACCACTTCATTGAGCTGAAGTGGTTTAGGTGCCTATAGTGGTCCTTTAAAGACCAGTCTGTGTAAAGTAAGATGCACTGTTCATGTTCTAAATTACATTTTAGCTGCATTAACGGTTAGTAAGTCACCCAAAAATTCTCAGGACAATCCTGACCCTGACTGCACCCTCTTCACTTACATCCCTAAAATTAAACTGTCCCTCTTTGTCAATCGGAAAAGTTGGGAAGTACGGAAACACTTGTATGGCACATGCCCAAACAGAAGTAGAAACACAATCAAAAAAACAAGCCGTTGTATTTAGATAGGACACAAGTAGATTCACCGAGAAGCATGTATTTCATATTTTAATTTATGATAACATAAAAACTTTATTTGTACTAGCTGAAAATGTTGTCTAGGTACCAATACATACTGGGTCATTAACAACTCTTTAGTATATAAAACAAAACAAACAAAAAAACAGCAAAAACTAAATATTTTTTTCCATAAGAATAAATAAATATATTTTTTTAAAATACAGACGCTCCTCACTTACCGACTGGTTTCTGTTCTTACAAATCGGTCGTAAAACGAATTGGTCAGTAAGTGAGAATGAGATACAGAGCATGCGCACCAGTGCAGGTCTATGTTCGGGGACATTTCCCCGAACATAGACAAATGCACCAGAGTAGGGAATCCCTCTAATCTATGTTCCAGGAATGTTCCCTGAACATAGATTTGAGGGATTTCCTCTCTGGTGCACTTGTCTATGTTATTTTCGATGTATAGATCAGCTCTCTAATGTGGGGAATGTAGAGAACTGGTCGTAAGTCTGAGTCGTCGTTAAACAGGTCAGTCGTAAAGTGAAGACCACCTCTACTCTAAGCAAAACTACTTACCTCTCATGTTCCTCTGTAAGTCTCTGGTAGTCCGAGGATAACATTTCGTGTTGTTTATTTTCCTGTAGCATTTTTCCCTGCTCCAGTTTAAGGGCTTTTTCCAGCTCCTCTAATTGGCCTTTTTGTTTGAGCAACTGGTTGTACCTGATAAAAAAAATTGTGAAAAAATTATCAGGGGACAAAGAGAGACTGTAACAGTGGCAGAAAGAAAGAGATGTAGCCTGATAGAGTGATGTAATGAGAGCGAGAGAGATAAAAACAGGAAAAACAACAAATAAATAGGCAGAGACCCAATAAATTATAGTTTGCCATGTACCCTTGTCCTTTAATAAATTTTAGATGTTTCGAGAAAATAAGGCTGGATTTAGTAATAACCCAAATTGTAAATAAATAAATGAATGTCCAGACAAATTTGACTTCATTACATTTATATCGCTGCAACCTTTATAGAGAAAATAGAATAATAGGGGTTTTTGTTCTAAACACTGTCCTAACTTCCAACAAACTAGTAATAATGCTGTTTTTGGCTCGAATACAGTGTTCAATCCAAGAAAAGAAATTACACCAACTCAAAGCATTCATTTTCTTTTGTTACTGTGATTTATAAGAGTCTTTAAACTGATTACAAGTGCTGAGGTAATGCACTCTGAAAGACGGCAGACGCGGAGGGGATGTACGCCAATAACCAGCCTAGTCTGTGCTTCTGTTACTCTGTCTATAAGTCAGCAAAATAATGGAAAAATCTAAATGTGGGTTGGGACCTACAGAGAAGCAGGACACTAAGAATACAGCTTACATGTTATTTATATAGGGAAAAAACAACACAAACTCAAACTGGAAAACAAACAAACAAAAACATACATCATAACAATCACAACTCCATTCACTGCGCGCATTTACATACAAACAGCCCAACAGCACCTAGACAAGGGGCAGGCAACCTTCACCACTCCAGCTGTTGTGGACTATAGCATTCTGGCTGCAAGAGGATTATGGTAAATGTATTTAACAGCATCTGGGGTGCCGAATGTCACCTACCCATGACCTAGATGGGGGGAATATAGGTTCTACCCTACATAATACAAAATAAAACTACACTAAATAAAATAAAAGTAATGCTTTATGGAGTAGCACTGGACAATATGTTAGTAGGATGTAATGTTTTTCTTTTTTACCATATAAAGTAACGATAATTAATGCTGTGTGATGATTGGTTGCGGTATACAGCAGACTTGCAATAGAATTGTTTGGAACACAGATTCACATGTACCTGTCCTCGAGGTCTTTGTGTTCCACTTCCAGATATTTATGTGCAGATTTAAGGCTGCCGTGCTTGGAGATAAGAGATTCGTACTCTGCTGCCTGACTCTCATGCACTTGTGCCAGTTTCTCATGGTCTTTAACCAACAGATCGTACATTGACTTCAGCTCTTCTCGTTCTTTCACAAGGGATTCATATTCATTTTCTAAGCTAGACTGCTGGATAAGGAGCTGGGAATTTTGGTTCATAAGTGATGTGCTCTGCGAATTAAGAGTTGAGTTTTCAACCTGCAAATACAAGATACGCACACATTATACCAGATATACATATATTATTTTGCTTAGAGCCAAGAGCTTTTCATGATCTTTTTCTTAAACTCTGCTGTACAAAGTGACAACAGCAACTCAAACCAAGGAAAAGGAAATGAGAAAAATGTAAAACTTAAAATAACATTTGCTTTTTTTTTGTAGCCTCAAAGCCCCATACAAACCATCCTGATGAAACTAGGCCATTTAAAACAAAATTTTTTTTTAAACATTTGGGCTAACTAAAACTAATCATATTTAGATAATATTGTTTATGGAAGTTTAGGACATCTCATTTTTTCCCATTCCATACACTGATGAGATGTGTGGAGGGTCAGTGGTAGGGTACTCCCCCACCATGTACACAATCTCATTGATGTGGTCTGGGTGCAGTGTCTCTGTCCCCTTAGCCCTGTAATATAACACATTGCAGTTTTCTGTTTTTTTTGTTGCAATTTTCAAAACCGGTGTACAGTAATACAAGAATATGACATAGTCTGAAACAGCATTAGGCATCATAAGGTACTCAAAGTAACATGACATATGGTTCTCTATAGTCCATGCTGTACGAACAATAAACCAGTGTTATCTATATGCAGATAAGTGGTATCATAACAATAGCAACATGGGTGAGGGTTGGGGTGAGGGATAGGTGGTGAGGGATATATGGTAAATAAGATATTTGTGGTCTTTGGCAAGACCCTTTGGAAAAAGGTGTAGTAAGTATATTTCAGGGAGTCTTGGTAAATGCATTCCTGAGCACTCGTGAATGATCTCTTCTATGTCTTACCAGAATTTGTTTATTTTTGAGCACGACCACCAGATATGGGTCATCGTCCCTGGTTCTGATAGGCAGCGCCAGCATGTATCACACAGGCCCGGGTTGCGGTTTTTTAATTGTGTGGGTACCAGGTACCATCGGTACGAAATCTTTCTTGCGAGCTCCATATGGGAGGTGCACAATGATAAGCTTTTGCGTGCCATAGGTATTTTTTGCCAATTACTCTCTGGAAGTGAAATGTCTAGTTTCCGTTCCCATGCTTTAAGAAAGGTAAATTTCTGGGGGCCTGTTGTGCAGCATATAAGAGAGATCAATTTGGTGGTTGGTTGCGATCTAAAACAGTTTTTTTTCCCCATGTCTGTCAGCTGTAGACCATTTACAGTGTTGTAGGATAGCACACATTGTGTTTTTGACCATGACAACAGTTGCACATACATAGGCGTGTGCACGGGGTGTGCCTGGGCACACCCTAATCCCCGCGGAACGCCTATGGATTGAGACCGGCAGGGAAGATCTCAGGATCTCCCCTGTCGGCTCATGTAGAGCTGGCGCTATCCGAGCGCTGGCTCTGCTCTAAGCCTCCATGGGCCGGTGGGAGGATCAAAGATCTACCTCACCGGCCCACAGCAGCATGGAGGGAGGCAGGAGAGGACGTGAAACGTGGCTTTGTGCTGTAAAAACTGCCATGTATCTTCTTTAGCTGCCTCTGTGCAATCTTTTTGAATGGCCTTGGTAATACACACATTCTTCAATAACAGTGTAACGAATAAGAAACTGCCAGGAGCATCATGATAGTCTGAGACAGCTCTGCTAAATTATAATATAATGATCGTATTACATTCCCACAAATATTACCTGGAGTTTAGCATTCTGTGTCTGAAGAGTTGTATTCTGCTCCTGTAAGGAAATCGCTTGCTTCTGAAGGGTCAAAATTTGTGCTTGTAAATTGTCATTTTGGTTTTCCAGCTGTTTCAGCTGTGTTTTCAGTGCTTGCTTCTCTGCCTGCAAAGTAGCATTCTTTAGGAGATGGAGAGAGGGAAGACACGGAGAGAAATTCGAAGTTAGAATTTCTAGGAAATGTCAGACTAGGCATCAGTTATAGTTACATAACAGGAGATGGTTGTATGTTGATGTGAGAAGTAACATCAATGGGATAAAAAAAAAGAAGAAGATACCATGACGGACAGTGATCGCTTGGACAAAATTGTCTGTATACACACCTAGAATGTACATGAAAGCCCATCTTTTTATTACCGTTAATTAGCTTTCACTCACAGAGTTTCTATATATCATCATTTAGTATCTACAGCTACCAAAGCACTAACCCCCTTGAAGACATGTTTCTTCTGTGTTTTACCATGTACCTTTCCCATCACATTGATAAAGTAGCTGGTTGGTGAAAATCTATATAAGCCCTACGTACAACGGTTGAGCTTAACAGACTTACGTTTGTTCACCCTAAATTACTGTGTTACCTATGTTACCGTTGTCTTTTTCATGGTTTAATTTCAATACTTTACTGAAATTCATAACCATTAAAAATGACAAAATCAATTCAATTTGTCAAGCCAAATAATTAAAAATAAAGTCGGACACCCTTCGATAATGTGTTGAACGTTCTAGACTGGCTTGTGCGGAAATGCGTGATACATATAGGCGTATTTTGTTCAAGTTTCAGTTCTATTACGATTATTCCATGTTACAAATTTAAGACTGAGTTAAACAGAATGTTTAGTTATGAACTAAACAGAACCGCTAAGGAGTCTAAAGTTATAACAAAAACAGCTTACATTTCTCTCAATTTCTATTAAGCGATCCTTGATTTTCAGAAGCTCCCTTGTGGTCTCCTGACTCTCCCTCTCCCATTTAGTCACAGGCATATGCTCGTCTTCAGGCCTGTGAGAACTCTGAACTAGTCGTTCCTCCTCTTGTCTTTGCTTAAGTGCTTCGTAGTTCTTTTTCACCTATGAGAAAGTTAAAGATGAGATGATAATAAAATATTGAGGGCTGTTGTTAATTATAAAGCTCAGCAACCAAACCTCACACATTATGAGACTCTGTTTGTAAAGTGGATAACCTCTTATTTCTAAAAGGATTTATCATTCCGATATTGCTCTACCACAATTAGTGACAACTTTAGAAATTAACAGTTTTACCATTTAAAAAGCATTTGTATATTCCGTACCTTATCATTGACTATATAGTGTATTCATCTTATATTAACGGTTCAATGGTTTTTAAAATGCTCGATAAAGATTTGTTATTAAGCTTTCCAGTGGATTGTTGAGAGATTCTAATTGCTTGCTATCGACTTAAATTGTAAAAAGAGATTCAAGATGGCTCCCTACTCTAGAAAACACAGTCAAACCTTCAACTGGGAATTAGAGGAAAATTAACTAAAGTTTTGTTAGTTAAATAATATTAATCTGCTTAAATAACTGCTTTAACTGATTAATGTAATTTGAGTAAATGAGTAAAGCTTAATAAATCTGAAAAGACCCATCACTTACAGTTTTAAGTTCTTGGCGAAGTTGCTGGTTGAAATTTGTCGACTCTTCCAATCTAGCTTCAAGAGATGCAATTTTTTCCTCTTTGATTTCAAGAGTTTTCTTCAAGGTTGATTCTAATTTTGACTCCAAAAGCTTATATCTGCTGTTGAACAAGATGGAAGGCGTTTGCATTTTTAATAGCCGCAAGCATGCATGCAGAACATCAAAAAAAATATTCCTTCAAATAATGATAGATTGGCATAATTTTTTTTTTATAGAATTGAATAAATCTAAATGACTTATCCAATGTGTGTTACAAACCGCCGTGAGGAGTCTAAGGCTATCTATATTTAACCTTGCTTTAGAGCCACTAAAATATTTACACCTTCTAGCAAGGTCAATAAAAGCATTGTTTAAAGTTATTGATTTCAAAAAAATTTAAAATAAAAATGTGTTCCCTTTGGCCTTTATTTAGGCTGTTGGCAGTTAGTCACACTCCAGTGAGAATGTAGGGAATTATCAAACATATATTAAAACAATTAATATTAATTTACCATTTGGAATTCTATAAGTTTGATAAATGGATCCCTTGCATTTCAAAGTTCTCCATCTATGGAACTTTATCAAATAAAGACATTACAAAATGGCACATACTACTTAATGGTAATAAAGAGGTTATTATTGAGGTCAAATCTCCACCAAACATATTTCCCCAATTTATTGTTCATTTCATCTGCTAGGTCATCGAATAAGATATATGAACATACAAGGTATAACTGGATTCTAGTTCTTAAGTGATGGAAATGTGCTTATGTCATCAAAATGCACTAATCAAAGGATATACACCCGCAATAGTTCCACAATATTGACCAGCACACGCCACCATAAATGACCAATAAAAGCCTGTACGAGTATTATTTATGCAGGTCTTTGCTAAAGTGAATCTTTAAGTGGTCACTCTAACCAATCTATTCCAGATTTTTAATTATGCTCCTGCTCAGTACTGTGACTCTAGTCTTACTTCTATTAAGTAGTGATACAGGTTTCCAGAACAAAAGGTCCCCACTGTCTACCATTCATCAAACATGCATATAAAAACCAGGAAGTTAGTCACGTCGTTTCTTCCTTTTATGGAGTCCATTACAGCTATCTTACTACTTCAGGAGAACATGCAGATGGACCCTTCTGGCTCTTCGTCAAGGATTCGGCTGTATAATAGCCGTGCGTAAATGACCCTTTACCTGTCATCAGTAGACTGTTCGTCATGGAGGAGGCGCTCTTTGTTTAACCCAATCTTCTCCAGTTCGTGAGCTAGTTTTTCAAGGTCGTTATTTGTCTGTTGTGTTTTCAGCTTTTCATTCACCAGATCCTGTAGGTTTAAAGACAGCAGATGTTCACAGTACTGAAATATTAGAGTACAAAAAATAAATAAAAAAATTCAAAAAAGTATTGAAAACTAACAGCAGGAAATAGTAGTTCAGAGCAGGTATGTGTAGATAGTATGTGGACATAGAAATTTGAGGTCTGTTAAACCTTGGAGGTTGAAATGTAATAGTTATGATTTATTTTGCTTAATTTGTCATTGTGTTTAACTCTAAAGTCACGAGCCAGGTTTAAAAGCCCACCAACTAATTGCACATATCAATGAGTGAATTTTAGTGTCCACAACAAAAGCACATTGGCAGAGAGTAAATTATTTATTTTTCATATGTACATTATGGAACTTTATGCAAAGGAATATTTATATCTGGGATTTGTTATATTTAGGCATTTGGTTTTCCTTAGTTTGCAGTGTGCCAAATATTTTATATTGGAGAACTGCACCAACGTCAACCCACGGACAGCTTACTAGAATGACAACTCAAAGCCGGACAGCTGCTTCAAACAGTTGTGATGAATTAGAATGGCCAACAGTTGTGCTCTTAGCTTCCTTCCTTAAACATAAATATTTTTCTTTTAACCGGATACATTTTCCTTGTTACTACTACAAACCATCATTTCCTTTTTATTTTTACATTCAGGATTTCCCTTAAATTCAGGGATTTTAGAAAAAAAAAAAGAAGAAAATAATGAAAATGAAGGAGAAAGCTGCAATTCTTTCTTCAGTCCAGAGGGGAGATTTCTTTTCACGTAGTGTTTCTATGGAATTTCACTGAATGATTGTTACAGATAACTGTATCGTGAATGAGAAATCTAAGCATTAACGGGACACTGTAGTCACCAGAACAACTACAGCTCATTATATTTGTTCTGGTGAGTATAATTATTCCCTTCAGACTATTCGCAGTAAACACTGTGTTTTCAGAGAAAAGGCAGTGTTTACATTACAGCCTAGGGATACCTCCACTGGTAACTCCCCAGATAACTACTAGAGGAGCTTACTGGGGCAGTGCTGCACAGTGTGACTGACATTCAGTGTCTCCACCCTCTGCATGGAGGCAATGAACTTTCCTCATAGAGATGCGTTGATTCAATGCAGAAAATGCGGATTGGCCAGGATAGCATTTCCCTCCACCCTCCAGCCAGCCTCATTGGCTGAGATCATCAGAATTTATCATTTCAGCCAATCCAATGCTTTCCTATGGTAAAGCATTGTGATTGACAGAGATCATCACTTCTGACGATGTCAGCCATGGTGGCAAATCGGGGGCAGAGCCAGCAGCAGATTTTACTATTTTTAAGGAGGCAAGGGGGGCTAAATAGTGTTTTTAACACTATAGGGTTTAGGAATACATGTTTGTGTTTCTGACCCCATAGTGTTTTCTTAAATCAGTTCATCAGGAATCTGTATATCATCATGAATACTGGATGCACACACTGCTCTCTTTTTAAGGAACAATATTACACTAAAATAGATCATGTATGGCTAGAAGTAAAAAATTGCATTAATCTATGTGATACAGTAAATTATATTACATTAGGCTGCTGTTAATGCTCATGAATATTTGCAAGATGTATAGGGAGATCAAGCAGATTTCTGTATGTGACCTGATCGGTACAACCCCATGCTGAGCCAGTTATCTTCTGCAGACATATTACCGGCCAGAATCGTAAACAATGTCGACATAGATTAGTGGTTTCTAAACCAGAATTAAGACAGACTGAAATCTCCAGAGTACTCCAGATAAACCAAGGAAAGGTCATTATTTTTTTAGCAATCACTGGATTAGTCCTTCCCTGAAAGCCAAGCCTAACCATACCTTTACCATTACCGTTAATGTTAAAAATAATGCCATATAAAAGATTCATAATCCTGAAGGAATGCATTTGGGGACAAAATGCCATCTCAAAGATCTGGAGACTTTTATAAACCAAATAATCTTCAATATAATTGGTTATGAAGATATCTCCAATATCCATCAATGACATAGGCGCTTTAAGTCATTTATATTAAATGATTGATTTATTAATTGAGGGGGAAGGCTGCCCAGAATTGGTAGGAATTTGGCTAGAGCGGCTCTCTAACTATGCTATCCTTAATTCAAACTCCCTTACTAATATGACTAGGCAGGAGGTGGAAAGAGATATAAAATTATACTAACACTCACAGAGTGTGTGGGTTCTAAATAAATTCAAACTGTAGAAGATCATAAAAAAACACCCAACTTTGAAATGTGTTACTAATAGTTTGCAAGAATTATAAATGTTACCAGTTATGAATTGTAAGTCAAAACTGTTAGAAAACAGTTTGATTCCTGGCACAATAACAACTACAGCAATTGGGCCTTTGCACCTCTTTTTACACATTTGAAGCTCTAAATTAGGGAATTTTGAATGAATTTTTTTTTTAAAGAGATCCAAAATGGAACAAGACTTTGGCACAAAAAAGGACAAATTAAATCAAACAATAAGAGAGAACTGGGAATACGTATGTACTGTCCCCCAGATTTAGGACATTTATTTGGAGAGAGTCTTTATGTCTCAGAGACTTTACTTTATCCTCTTAAGGAGGAAATCTACTAAAGATCTTTGGAGACCAGATTGTAATAATGTAGATGTTAAACAGGACTTGTATGAAGGAAAAAAGCATCAAACCTCCATTTTTTTTAGCTTACCTCTCTTAAGGTGACTAGGGTTTTCTTATCGATCGTAGCTCTTTTTACAAGTTCCTTGTTTTCCTTCTCTAGCTCCTTCAGCCTTGCACATGAATCTTTGAATGTGACCGCTTCCTTAGAAAGCAACTTGTTTTCTCTCTCCAAGTTGGATATTCGGGCATTGTTCTCTTCCAGGGTTGTGTCTTTAACTTCTGCTTGTTGACGCAGTCTCTTGTTCTCTTTTTCCAACTGCTTTTTATCGCGTTCTAATTGGCAAGTCTCCTGCTCCAGAAGTTTGGTCTCTTTCTCCAGCTGCTCCAGCCGCTTACTCGAGATTTTTAGCTGCTCCAGATTCTTTTGCAAGGTCTGATTTTCAGATTCTAGTTCTTGCAGTTCATTTTCCAGCTGTTGAATCTTTTTATTGCTGTTTTCCAGTGCCTTCTGCAGCCTTTGGTTTTCGGTGTCCAGCCCTTGGTAACTAACTTCTAAACGCTCGGTTTTCTTGCAAGATGCTTTCATGAGGTCCATCGATTTCCTTAACTGCTCCTTCTCATTTTCTAGCTCTTTGTTTTCCAGTTGTAATTGAGCTACTTTGATGTTTGTGCTCTTTAGAGATTCTACAGCTCTCCGTAAATCTAAATTTTCTTCTTCAAGTTGACCGTTTTCTTTCTCCAGTGATTCCATCTGATATTTAAGATTCTTTAAACTATCCAAAGTCTTTTTTAGCTTTCGGTTTTCAACTTCTAAGGTTAAATTTTCTTGCTCCAAAGACTCTGCCTTTTCACAGATTATATTTAAGCTGGTTATCTTTTTTTGCAAATGTTCGTTTTCTTTTTGTACTCTGTGCAAGTCCTTTTCCAGTTCCTCCGCTTTCTCACTTCTCTCTTTGAAATGTTCCAGATCCTTCTTGATTTGCTTCTTTTCAAATTCTATCTTGTTTAATTTGCCACTTGTCTCTTTAATGGTTTCGTGCAGAATTTTATTTTCCTTTTCAATATCCTTGACTCTCGCCTCTGCCCCAATTTGGGAACGCTGTCTCAAGGAAGCGATGGTTCGATTCAAATGCTCGTTCTCTTGCTCTAGGCCTTTGATCTGCATGGCAGTACCGGAAAAAAGATTAACATTTTTGTATATGAAATTGCTTCAAATTTAAGGACATACACATACCGATCAGCCCAAAATTAGTGGGAGTTATGCTTCTAGAGGTGAAATATTGCCCCGAGATTAAAAAAAAATCCAAACATTAAATCTATAAAAACAAACAAAAACCCATGTAATATAAATGATACAGAATTGTGAAGCTTGTATTAGGGAAAAATAATGCGGTCAGGGTTCTAAAGACATTTATAAAGCAAAGTAAACATTATCCTAAAGCACACACGTTCGTTGCATCCAAATTATGTAGGATTGAGACAATTTACCATTCCGGAGGTCTCAAATTCCGTGTAGCAGTGTGTGAACTACAGAAACCAAGATAAGTAGGCACAAAATACAGAATCACAGGGGAGCACAAAAACTTTACAACAAATTGTATTATGTGTCTACTTCATAAATACTAAGAAAGCTTGAAATTTTATAACGTGAATCGTGGCGTTCTCTTGGTTCCCGTATGTTCATACATGACACTTGAAAGCAGTCAATCTTCAGTCTTGAATAATGGCTAAATGGTATTACATTCCCAATTCACGGTTCACCTTTATGTAACACACACACACACCTTTTTAACTTATTGCTTGAATCAAGTCCAAGGTGGAGTTCTTTTTCTGCTTCACTGTGTATGATCTTCTAGTTTATTCACACTAATAGTCCTAGACCAGTGGTTCCAAAACCAGTCCTCGTACCACCTCCCCCCTCACCAGTCCAGGATTTAGGGATTACCCAGTTGTGTCTAAGGCATTTTTAGAAGAAGAAAAAAAAAGAACCTTAGACACAAGTGGTTAATCCCCAAATCCTGGACTGGTGGGAGTGAGCACTGGATTGGCAACCACCATTCGTCTAGACCATTAGAACTTTTGGGCACAATAAAGGTACAAACATTGTGTGGAAGAGGGACACTTGTCACCCTTATACCTAGAGGTTAATGGGATGCAAATAGCCTACAGTTTTACAGTTTAATGGGGCTTCAGCAGTCATGTGAAGTTTATCATCCCTATAAAATCATACCCAAACCTAGGGAATAGGGATTAGAATTTTAATAGCAAGATAAAAACTTTGTAGAAGCTCTGCTGCCCATCCAGATTTACTTCATCACTGGTTTTGGAGGACATTAAATCTCACAGTACTCCTCCATTGATGTGAATCTACATCTAATTACATGAATTAGCAGAGGTTGACTGACAGGGAGGGAAGAGAGTGAATTACTGCCAGTTTGATGCACGCCATTTTCCATCAAGAAAACGAGAACAGTATGCATCTGCTCTCATCTACATATGGCATATCAGAGGAACAGCTCTTCGAAATGTAAGAAAGCAACCGAAAAAGGATGAAAGATAGAGGACGTGCATAAACTACCGAGGTGAACGGACCATGAAATATCAGATCATCAGAAAGAGACCAGCAATTAAACTCTTAACCATTTACGTACATGAGGTTAGAAAAGTATTGCTTTAGGACATTAAGGACCCTAAAAAAATAAAGTAATAAATAAATAAATAAAAAACACAAACAGCTTTCAAATTATTGTGCATTCTCTAGCATTATATAGCCAGAAATGTGTCTCTAGCATTTGGTAAAATGTTCATGCAGTAGGAGGGGGTCAGGGGGCATACCTTTTATTAATAGGATCTTTATTTTATTTTAGCATTTATAAAACAGCATAACATTCTGCAGAGCTTTACAATTATAAAAAGGGAAAATTTTCCAGGGGAAGGAAGCCCTGCTTAAACATGCTTACAACACAAGAGAATTTGAGGTAGGTGGATATGTATTGTTAGGTGTTTTGCCCAGGGACACTTACTGGTGAGCTGGTGTGATGGGGATTTGTGTTTCCCAGTTCTAAGGCTGTGACCATCTCTGCTTTTTTATTTTATTTTTTAAAACTAGTTTGCCAATTTATGACAATAAATTTGGTGTAAGTGTTTACGTTCAGTGAGCAAAAATCACAGAATTTTGTCCACTGCAATACAAAGAGGCATACTGCCAAACCTAGACATCCTTTGACTACAGATTTTTTTTAAATTTTTTTTTTTTTTACTTCAACAGTTTTGGGTTGCAATTGGCAAATCAGATTACATAACTTGAAGGTACTTGGTCACCTGTCTCTCAGAGTTCTCCCGAAGCATCTCTATGGTTTTTTCTAGCTGTGATTTTTCTTTCATGAGGTCATCACTCAGATTGTGGCTGCTCTGAATGCTTTGCCTCTCGTGATTTATTTCGGCCTCCAGTTTTTCAAGCTAAAACAAACACCAAAACACACAACAAAAACCATCAATAGTCTAAACAGTACCAGAACAGTTTGTCCTTGCAGAAAGTGAAGATATGTTACTTTCCTCGACCTTGCGACAGAAATGGAATCCAACGCATTTATTATATTTCAGAAACACTTTGCTATTAGTGATGCGTCACCTTCCAATTCCCTATCACAACATGTGCTTGACTTCAATGTAAAGGAGAGGAAGGGGTGCAAAGTGACAAGACAGCTAACAAAGTACTGATGGGGGTAAGTTGTAACAAAACAAACAAAAAAAAAAAAAAACATCCACAGAAAGTTTGCCCTTTAAGAGTAAACACTTGATTGGAATAATAATAACACAGTCTCCATCTCACCTTTAGCTTGGCTGCTGGCTGTTTTAGCCAAAATTATTGCCATTTGGATCTCAGTTCACTACAGTTAAGATGTTAGTGAAAAACCACCCCAGTATGAAATAAAACTAAACAGATTTATTTTTTCTTTGATTAGAGCACCAAAGAAGATGCTAAAAAATCTACGTAGACAGTGCTATATGCAATGTCACAGATCACACACATCATTTGGTGTGAAGCAAAATGTCCGATAAATTGACTTGTTTTAATGCGTTATATAAGCATTACACACAAATATCACAACTAGGATTGAGATACTTGGTTTATAACAGCGTTAAAAAACCCATAAAAAACAAACAAGCAAAACACAACCAGTTAGCAGCAGGATTCACCACTTAAAACAAATGTTAATACTGTCCAAGAACTTGGCAAATGGGTATCTCTGCCACGTCCAACACGAGGAAGTATTAAATAGGTCAAAACATACGTGGATAAATGACTGACTTTGTGTCCCCCTGAGAACCCTATGTCGTCTTCATCTGGCCGGGAAATGTTTTAAATAAGCCGGTTAATTTCGTACATTCTGCACCAATTACCTTTTTGTTCAGTCTTTGGTTTTCTTTCTCCATTTTCAGGATCTTTGCATTCGTGCCTTCTGTGGAGCCCACTGTGCTTCTGAGTTCTTCCAGAGTACTCAGCAGAGTTTGGTTCTCCATCTCCAGCTTCAGAAGTCTGCTTGACGTGAGCTCATTCACCTCGTGTCCAAGGGATTTCTGTGGAGCTGCAGAACATAGAACATTCACAATCAACATTGCTACCATGTAATGCCAACTGCAAAACAGACATGTAAAACATCCTAAAAACAATAAAAACAAAATAAAACAGTTGACAGACCAATAATAAATATTTAATACCACACCAACCATTATGACTAGAACAGTGTATAGGCAATGCCTTAAACCCCTTCTATCATACATCATAAACTTTCTATGCCAGATTAAAGAGTAGAGAATGCTTTAAGTTGCTAAACAGACTTTCTAACTATAAATTGGGAGACATCTGGAATCTTTTTACATTCCTACAGGGTTATTCGCTAAAGTGAGAATTCAAAGAGAATTTCAAATTTGAGGCCAAAGTTGCTGAACTGATAGCATACTTGGCTTAGAGAATTAGAAAAAGAATTAAAATGTACTTTGAATTTTCTTTTTAGTGAATAAGCCTGCTAGCGTAAGTAAGTTCTGGTACTTTTTTTACACTCAATAAAAGGACACTACTGGAATCTTTTTTCCCTAATCATACAGAAAATGTTTTAACATCCACTGTACCAGGGGAAAAAAGTGTGGGGAGGTGACAGAGTGCGTGTATGGAGGGAGTGAAAGGGTGTATGAGGGGGCTTGTTGGGGGGGCTGTGACAGGGCTTGTGGGGGGGGCTGTGACAGGATTTTTAGGGAGACATGGTGGGGATGGTTGTGACAAGGTGTGGGTAGGAGGTCTGTGAGTGGGTAGGGTCTGAATGGTGGGTAGGGGGGCTGTAAGGTGGGGTGGGGGCTGTGAGTGGGTAGGAGGGCTGTGAGTGGGTAAGGTTTCTGTAAGATGGTTAGAGGGGCTGTAGGGGGGCTCCCTGACTCACTGACAGACACACACATTCAGTGACAGACACACACAGATAGATATACACACACACAGACTCACTGACAGACACACACACACACTTCCCCCCAACACTCAGATTATCTTTTTAAAATTAATTTTAATTTAAATCCACCCAGCCTCCCTACCTTTGGGAGAGCAGGGTGGATTTTGGGTCTGCTGGCCGGGCTGATTGGGCAGGAAGGCAGGTTGGCGGTCAGCCGAGTTCCAGCTGTCACATTCAGACTCCCGGTATCACTCTGTGGCGTGAGGGAGCTGAGCAGGGAGAGCTCACAAATCAACGCTCTCTCGCCACCCGCCTGGACTTCAACCGCCGCCTGCCCTGAGGCCAACAAGGAAAAAATGTCCTGCAGGACTTCTAACAGTAACGGTGTTCCTGCATTGTACACAGTAATGGAACCCTTTAACTCTAGATTAGGAATTTAGCAGAACCTTTTAATTAATAGATTAAAAGAGAGTGTTGGAAACTTTTATTCCTCTCCTCTTTATTCAGAAGAAAACATTAACCATACCTCTGTTTTACTTTGTGTACGTGAATACAAGAACCCTGAAAACAATACAAGTGACTGGACCAAGAGGTACATTACAATAAAATATATTTCATCCTTTGATGGAAAATTGTGATATTAAACTACTTAGTTGACAAAATCCATTACAAATGGATCTCTGAACACATCTGCATGTACTTTCCCCATTCGTTTGTATTTAGGTACGCAGGAAATATTACAATCTGAACCTATGTTTAACTAAAGCCAGTCTAGGATATGCAAGCTTCTTACTTTCAGGGAGATCACTGGTTTTAGATAGCTGTTCCAGCTCCCAGCCGAGATGTAAAGACTCATCCATACTTTGTTTTTGGGCCATTTCCAGAGACATGTTTTCCTCCATAAGTTCTTCAATTTTTTTTCTGTCCATGTCCCGCTCCTAAAATGATAAATTCACTGCTAGTAGGATAACAAAACCATACAAAACCGAAGCATACACACTAACATGACCGACGGTACTTTCCCAACCATGAAAGAGTTACAATAACTTTTTTTAGATGGATATGTTATTTTAGTAATTTTTAGATCAAGCTGAATTGCTATTGTCATTGTGCACTTATCCCAATGACTCAGACACCATAATTTTTTCAGGCAGTCTGAGTCACAAAGCGAAGATTCTAAATTCAGCTTTGAATGTACTGTTAACGCTCCACATAAGAACAGATATTATACATTCCTCTAAGTTACACCGGCATAATATTATCGAGATAACAATGGACTTTGATCTGTTCTTACCATCTCCATGTCATGAAATTTAGCTTTAAACTGTAAGTTTTCCTTCTCTAACTCATGTAGTTTATCCGATCGGGCTCGTGCACCTTCCAGTTGGTCTTCTAACATTGACTTGGTCTCCAAAAGCACTTGATTGTCTTCTTTTAATTCCTTAGAAAAAACAAACATGGTTATTATATCTAAAATTATGCATGGTTTTCCATATCCATAGCGATAACAAAAAATACAGAAGAGATCTAGACAAAGTAATAATTAAACATTAGTAGTCTAAAAAGAGCAAACAATCCAGCAGCGGAACTACGCCAGTGCAGACACAGCCACATAACCGGCATGCTCTGGGGGCCCATTCGCAGAGGGCCACGTGATGGCAAAAGTGTTAACAGCACAAATGGCCCCTGTGATATCAACAGCAATGGGAGGAAATGGCAGACATTCACTTCCTCCCAGAAAATACTGAGCACAGCACGGGAGGATGGCAGAGAGGAGGGGCGTGGAGTGGGAAATCCTCTGACTCCCAACAGCAAATAGATATATATAGCTAGCCTGGGAGTCTGATGGTTTTTCACAGTATCTTTTCTCAGAACTGCACTCTTCTGGACTTTGATCTCCCACCTGGAATCTGTTGAAACCACTCCCCCAACTGGGAGTCAGAGCTCTGAGTGCTCCTATCACAACCGGGACTACTACTGCTTTCACTTTCCACATCCTTTCTATTGATCTGATGCGGAGTGCCTGTTCCTGTGCTGCGAGGATTAGTGCCTCAGTGCGGTCTTTCAGTCTTGCCTTTTCCAACCACTGTAAGATTTTGTCATGTGAGCCACATCCACTATGTGCTGGTGGTACACCCCGTGAAGAGGTTTGTATTGCTATGAACCTCCTCCTTTTCTGCATCTTCTATCTGTTGAAGTCTCAGGTTTTCCCTTAACAGTTCATCTTTGGGAGACATCTTCGTGATGTACTTGCATGCTCTGTGTGTCATCGAGGACTGTGGCCTTGTGGCCAGTGTACAGTCTCTGGGTGCTGGATTTTGGGTGGAATCCTCCATTCATAGTGTGTAGTTTCTGGGACTTGACATCCATGGTGACCAGTTCTTCTCTTGGTCAAGTTATTATTCCAGTTGAGTACATGATGACTAGTAGGGCATATGTGTTGATGGCTTGGAACGAGTTTTTGCCATGGAGTTGGGATTTCTGGGCCTGTCTGACTCTCTGGAGGTACTTGGATATTGCGATCCTCCTTGTCTCTTCCTCATGATTGCCATGTGTTTGTTACCTCCAGGTACTTGTAGCTGTCATATGTGGGTAGATCACCTGCCTCCTCACATATACACACACACACACACACATACATAATTTAAAAAGTTACACACATAATTGTATATAAAAATGTATTTCAATGTTAACTTACCTCAACTCTGGCCTTGTAAAATTCAATGTCATGCATTCTCTCTTTATAGCGATTCACTTCACTTTCAAGCTTATCCACTCGGATAGCCTTTTCCCTGAGTGCATCCAATTCATCTCGGTAAACTCTTGCAGACCGAGCATCTCCAAGTAAATTCATATTCTGGGGATATCAAGGGAGAAATGAAACAATTTGACCCATATTGTGTCTAAGCAGTGTGGGGCTAGCAGAGTAAAGAAACTGGCCTTCAAAAGACTGAAAAAAGTCATAATATGTTTCTGAACCGAAATCCCTACAAGCCGTTATAGAAGCTACAAATTATGTAATATTAATAGAATGTAACTTAAAAAGATTTTATATTTGGAAAAATATAAAATAAAATGTAACTCTAAATACCAGTGAGAGGCTTTCTATTGTCTATTTATTTTCCAAATTTGTTTGTGTTAGGTTTGTGTTTGGTTTGTACAGTTTACACCTGGATAGTTTTGTACAGTTTATTTGACAACATTATCATTCACTTTAACATTCCATTGCTCAATAACATAAAATAATTTAACCAAAAATTCTACATTTAACTTTAACTAGTTTTCAACTACGTCCTGGTGTACGGACATTACAATAAAGCTACAAATATCCAAACTAAAACCATTACAAAACAAAAACCCTTGTTCGGTGCTTCAGTATATGAAAAGATTTCACAATGGCTTAGTCATATAGGATTATTGTAAAATATAATAAGGCTAACCTCCTGTTGAAGTCGTTTTAGCTCTGCCTCCAATTGTGCGGCTTCCTGCTTACTGTCCAAAACTTGCTCTGTTTTTTCTTCTCTAGAAAAGATTTAAAAATCATATACGTCAATGTGTTCCTCAAATATTCCCTTTTATTTGCACCTTTTTCGATCAGTGACTGACACAGGATTGTGTTGTGTTTTAGGTTGGTTTACAAAGCTCTCGTGTTTGGAAGGCATTTTTGGTATCTTCTTCTGTAAATGGATTATTGAATGTGCCAACAACAGACTCTTCATCCTCATCACAAAGAGTCAATCAATAAAAATAGAATACTAAAATCTTATGCAACCGCTTTCTCTGGGAATATGTCTCCTAACATATAATTCAGTAAAAGAGCCTAAAATAAGCCAACATTTAAAGGGCCTAGAGAAAATGTCTCTGCAAAATGTATGGAAATATTTACCAGCTGAAGATGTGCCCAGTTTATGGCCACGCACATATCTACAATAGGTCTCAGAGGAATAAAAGTTGTGGGATTGTTCGAGCTATGGTGAGAAAAAAATAAAATCTCCATTTCCTCACAGAGCTACATTATTATTATCATGAAGATTTTTCAAAGTGCAGTAAATAAAGGAAAGATTAATCTGCACATAAAACAGAGGGCGGAGACATGCTGGATAAAATAAATAGGGTGCATAGAACATAGAAGAGAAGAAAGGAAACTACAATGGAGACAGATATAAGCTGGGAGAAGAAAGGAAGGTGCAATTTGCTTGGAGAGATATATAGGCTGGGAGAAATCTTTATACTTTAACAGAGAAGGCCAGGCTGGCTAAACAACTAAAGAAAATGAGGATAGGATGGAGGCATCACAGGCAACGGCAGGGAGACAGTGGTAGGATAGAGAAATACAAGAGTAGGAAGAAGGTTTGTAAAATTATAGCAGGATGAAGATGTAGAATGGACACAAATAGAGGCCGGGTGAAGCTGCGAAAAAGGGACACAGATAAAAGGCAAGGTGAAGGTGTGTAGAATGAATGCAGACAGGGGCAAGGTGAAGGTGTGTAGAATGGACATCAATAGGGGCAAGATGAAGGTTTGTAGAATGGACACAGATAGGGGCAAGATGAAATTCTGTAGAATAGACACAGATAGGGGCAAGATGAAATCCTGTAGAATGGACACAGATAGGGGCAAGATGAAATCCTGTAGAATGGACACAGCCTTCAAAAGACTGAAAAAAGTCATAATATGTTTCTGAACCGAAATCCCTACAAGCCATTATAGAAGCTACAAATTATGTCATATTAATAAAATGTAGCTTAAAAAGATTTTGCAGATATATTTGGAAAAATATAAAATAAAATGTAACTCTAAATACCAATGAGAGGCTTTCTATTGTCTATTTATTTTCCAAATTTGTTTGTGTTTGGTTTGTACAGTTTACACTTGGATAGCTTTGTTCAGTTTATTTGACAACATTATCATTCACTTTAACATTCCATTGCTCAATGACAGAATAGACACAGATAGGGGCAAGATGAAGGTCTGCAGAATAGACACAGATAGGGGCAAGATGAAGGTGTGTAGAACGGACACAAATAGGAGCTGTTTAAGGGGAACGGTGAAGGTCCATAGAATGGACACAAAGAGAGGCCGGGTGAGGCTGCGAAGGGACACAGATAAATGCATGGTGAAGGTGTGTAGAATGGACACAGATAGGGGCAAGATGAAGGTCTGTAGAATGGACATTTATAGGGCAAGGTAAATGTATGTGTAATGCATACAGGGGCAGAGTGAAGGTGTGTAGAATGGACACAGATAGGGCACGGTGAAGGTATGTGTAATGTACACAGGGGCAGAGTGAAGGTGTGTAGCATGGACACCGACAGGGACAGGGTGAAAATCCGCAGAATGGACACAAATAGGGGCAAGGTGAAGATATGTGGAGTGTACACAGGGGCAGAGTGAAGGTGTGTAGAATGGACACCGATAGGGGCAGGGTGAAGATCTGCAGAATGGACACAAAGAGGGGCAAGGTGAAGATATGTGGAGTGTACACAGGGGCAGAGTGAAGGTGTGTAGAATGGACACCGATAGGGGCAGGGTGAAGATCTGCAGAATGGACACAAAGAGGGGCAAGGTGAAGATATGTGGAGTGGGGCAGAGTGAATGACCTTAAAAGGCAGGGGCATGGTGAGGGTCTGTAGAATGGAAGCAGACAATCTAATAAAAAGTGAATTTGAAAATCAAAATCATATATTTATTAAAAAAAATAAAACAGGCAGACACACACACACAAAAAAAACCAAAAACATATCTAGATACATTCTACAAGGGAACTAAAGTGTTGTGTACTGAGCAGTAGACAGACTTCATTACAGTGCATCAGGAAACAAGTACTGTAAATTAATCAATTTGTGACTCCAACTGAACAAACAATGCTCTCATCTAATATTCATTTTTACAGTCACTTCGGGGGGCTGATTACAGAACTGTAACCCCTTCAGACTCTACGAAAACAATAAAAGCACCAACGACGCTACACCGGAAATCATTAAGGGTCTGCTAGCACAGAAAGGGTGAGATTATAATAGAATTCAAACTCCAGCAGTCGTAAGATTTCTAATTAGAGGTTTTTATCTCCAGACTGAGAAGGACTGAAGCAAATTATGTGGAGCACATTGGCGTTTCATGTTTAGACTATCTATTAAGTGCCAATCATAGTAATAACTGCAATCTTTAGGCCAATTTCCTTAGTGCAGCTGTGAGTGTGGAATATGAGAGGAGGCTCCCAAGAGAACAGACGTTAAAAAAAGTGAAGCCTGTTTACAAATTCTTATTTTTGCTTAAATATAGCAAGGCGGTATTGTTTCAGTTCATCACAAGTCAATACTATTTATTTTGTACAAAATATCTTCAATGTAACAAAATGGAACAGATTATTTCATATAACTTATAAACAAAACAAAAACAAGCAAATAATAGAAACAGAAAACAGAATCCAATACAAAGAAAAAAATCTCCAAATAATTCCAAAAATGGAAAAGGGACACTACAGTCACCAAGAAGAACGTTAGCTTAACACCTTAAGGACACATGATGGAAATATTCCGTCATAATTCCCTTTTATTCCAGAAGTTGTGTCCTTAAGGGGTTAATTAAGCAGTTTTGGTGTATAAATCATTCCTTGCCAGTCTCACAGCTCATTTCTCTGCCATTTAGGAGTTAAATCACTTTGTGTAAGCAGTCCTAGCCACACCTACCTGCATGTGACTTGCACAGCCTGCCTACACATTTTCTGTAAAAGGAGATCTAATATTTAAACATCGTTTACTGCACAGTCTGTTTAATTTAATGTCTTATCTCCTGCTCTATTAATAGCCTTCTAGACCCTGCAGAAGTGTTCTGTGTGTGATTAAAGTTCAGCCTAAAGAGCAGGAGAGAGCTGCGTCAGTCACAGCCAGGGGAGATGTGGCTAGGGCTGCATAAATAGAAACAAAAGTGACTTTACTTCTAAATGGCAGAGAATTGACCTGTGAGACTGCAGGGACAAAACCTATAACCATGTAACTGCTTCATTAAGCTAAAGTTGTTTTGATGTATATAGTACCCCTTTAAATAAACCCAATGATACAATATATATCTATAGGTTTCCCAACTAATTATAAAATCATCATGACTAACAATCTAGGTTCTCATTGACACTAGGATTCCACAACTGAAAAATATTTTATTAAAACAGAATTGCGAGATCTTATTTTAATTTCAAATCTATTTGAAAACAAATAAATACATTTTAACACCAAAATAAGAATCTAAGCCAGAAGGTTAGAGATATTTCTGTCCATAAATAACTTTATCCAAGGATATGCTTGGAAACATCTCATTGTATAATTTTTGATAAAATACTTTGTTTTTATTATTGTGGCTGCATTATATCTAACAGACAGTTTATGAAAAACAGTTCAAGGAAAACGTTTCAACAGGCTCTTAAAGCGACACCGTCACCTCCCAACTCTCTGCACTGTTAGTCATTATGAATATTTCCTAATTATTTTATCTTTATGAAATACTATGTTGGAATTTTACTGAAATAGGTTCAGGTAAGTAAATCTCACCCCCCAGCCACCGGACCAGTAGAATTATGCAAAGTCCCAGACAGTGAGAGTGCCGCCCTTTAAAGAAACACTCCATAACAACAAAAAATCCATAACACTATTTAGTTAATAAATTTAAAAAAAATTTAATTGGGGGTATATCTAAAAACATCTTGTAAAAGCTGCTGAAATCTAGTCTACATCCTATGCAAGCCCTCCCCTTCTAACCCCGCCCAGACTTTCTGTGGGTGTCCAATCACAGACTTTCCAATGCAGCTCAATGAGAAGTCTTTGTAAGGCAGGTGCTCTGGGCAATTGCGGTCTCTTGAGTTTAGATCCAGTGAGCTAACCAAACCAGGAAGTAACAGGACCAGTGGTCTGACTGACTGGGGTCTGACAAGGTTAATTTATAAACATGCCAAGTTCTATTCAATTCTGCACTTTGTAAAATCAAAATGAGAACACACCTTTCGTGCATTAAAGGACCACTATAGGCACCCAGACCACTTCAGCTTAATGAAGTGGTCTGGGTGCCAGGTCCAGCTAGGCTTAACCCTTTTTTCTATAAACATAGCAGTTTCAGAGAAACTGCTATGTTTATATTAGGGTTAATCCAGCCTCTAGTGGCTGTCTCATTGACAGCCGCTAGAGGCGCTTGCGTGCTTCTCACTGTGAAAATCACAGTGAGAAGACGCCAGCGTCCATAAGAAAGCATTGATAATGCTTTCCTATGAGACTGGCTGAATGGGCGCGCAGCTCTTGCCACGCATACGCATTCAGCCGAGGAGTAGAGCTCCCCGCCCAGCGCTGGAGAAAGAGGTACTTTTAACCCCTTCCTCACCCTAGAGCCCGGTGGGAGGGGGACCCTGAGGTGCCAGGAAAACATAGTGGTCCTTTAAGCACTCAAGTAAGCGAACGTGTTTGGAGTGCTGTTTTAAGCACTGATTGGCACAGGGGGCCAAAATGGGGAAGCAATGAGATTTCCACATCCTGATGTGGAAACAGAAAAAAAGTATTTCTTGTTTTTCTGGCTAGGGTAATGCTTAGATTTGGCTGGGATAATATACAATTATAAAGTATTTGTAAATTTGAGGGGAACATTCTAATTTTTTATTGTAATAATACTTCTATTTATAAATCGTATTATAGTAATTATACTTTATTCTTAACCCAAACCACCATAATAATACCAGGAACATTACATTTAGATCTTACTGATATCTAGGGGAAAAATGACTCCATAGTTTAGCAGTAAAGTCCTGTATATAAAATATTTTACCAGGAAGGATACATTGAGATTTCTCTCCTTCTCAAGTATGTCTGGTATAATTTCAAGAATTATTGTCAAATGTAGAGTCCAACGCCCATTTTAATATTTACCATCTATGCAAGATATTTTGCTTTATTACAGCACATTAAAAGACGTACTTGTCTGTACCTTTAACCACATTCCCTGGGCCATTAACCACATTGTATCTTAACAGGTACACAGAAGCAGAAAGGGTGAGTTTATGGAGCAAAACTAATTATTACGAAGGAACTAAAGCAGATTAATAATAAAAATATCCATACAGCATACTGTGTTCTAACCTAAACATTGCATCCATCATGTGCAAGTATTAAGAGTCCCTTTATAAAAAAAAAAAAATCAAAAAAAAAAATCAAAGCTTTGGAATCTTCCAAGATTGAGGCTGTGTGCATTCCTGACTTTACCATTGGTTGTGAAATCACACCACCAGTTATATTTAATTAGAAGGATTGTCCATCATAGACGACCGCTTTTCAGCACACAGAGAATACATTTTGATGTATACCATTAACCAAGTGGCCCTGGAAATGTAGAATTAAATATAGTTTTTGATAAAACAGTCGTGTAAACTGCACTCATAATCTGCAGATTATGAAAATGAAAACCTAGTTTTAATAAAGATTCCAAAAGTAAATTATGGTGTGATTTTTTTTTCCTTCTTTCTAATGAAAAATGCAATTATTTTAATTTTTATTTTTTATTTTTAACAATTTTGTGTTATTGGGAATGCTTTTGGTAGTAGAGTAAAGTGAAACATTTTATGCTAATGAACACACTTCTCACAGTTCCGTAAAAGTTTGTTTTTCAATTATTTTCAAGAGTTATGGTGGGGATGTTTTTTGTCCTAAGCAAAATTTCCAATTGACAATTAATTATGATAATAATTATAAAAACAGATATGAAATGACAATGCACATATTAAAAAATGTATCCCCCCTCCACAAGTACATAAAAATAAGCCTGCAGATTTTTCACTTAAAATTGTGAGCTAGTGTCAGTTGTACGTGTCACTCTTTTAGGGAATACTCACAGCTCCTGCCTCAGCCGTCTTATTTTAGCTTTGGCGTCCGCAAGTTCTACTGACAGGTGCTGTCTGCTCTCTGTGCGTCTCATTCCTGGGGATCCTGACGGAGACTGTGCTGATGTAGACAGAGGTGCGAAGTGGAGAGAGTCCCTCTCCTCTGCGAGCTCGATAATGGTCTGTGAAAATTCACAGCAATTAGAACCACACAGAGTTTGTGATTGTAGAGGACAAAATCAAAAACGAATAATAAAAAAAAAAAAACCCAAACCAAAATCTAATCAACTGACCAACAAGCCTCCCTCTTATTTCATATACTTGTTTTGGGGATAGCTTAATGTACTTAAGAACTCTTGAATTCCATTACTGTAAGCATTTTCTCAGATTATACCATTTCAAGACTTGCGATTGTGAGCTCTAGACCTAGTTAAGAGTTCTCAAACACGCTCTTGTAAGGTCATCCATTTGTGTTAGATTTCTGGAGTGTTTCATCAATATCAATATATTCTTTTTATTAGATATTTACTTGTCCACCCGTTCACATATGATAAGGCCCTTCGATCTAAATTAGTGACAGCCAGTGTGTTGGTCTCCAGCTCTTTTGCTTTAAACTTTAAAGCAAAAGAGCTGGAGACCAACACACTGGCTGCCACTAATTTAAAGTTTAAAGGGACACTGTAGGCACCCAGACTGCTTCAGCTAATCGAAGTAGACTGGGTGCTGTTACCTTTTTGCACTTGGTGCTGCAATGTTAAACATTGCAGTTCCAGAGAAACACACATTGCAGCTCTAAGTCTGCCCTCTGTAGCGGTCTACCAGACAGTCAGTAGAGGGCTTCCGGAATCCAAACGGACTTTTGGTCCGTTATCTGACGCTGGACGTCCTCACGGACCTCCAGTGTCAGATTTTCCCCATAGGAAGGCATTGAATAATGTTTTCCTATGTGGAGGTCTAATGCGTGCGCGCCATTGCCGCTCATGGGCATTAGGTTTCCCTCGCCGGCTGACATTGGCAGGGGAGGGACGTGGGCAGAGCCTGACCCAGCGCTGGATTAAGGAAAGTGGCTGAAGAGATTTTAACCCCTTCAGCCCCGTGGGAGGGAGGCACTGCAGGAGCCTATAGTTTCAGGAAAACAGGTTTGTTTCCCAGGCACTATAGGATCTCTTTAAGGATTCCCATAAAATTTCAACATATTGGCAGGGATTGCATGAGGTTAATTTCAACATCAGCTAGAACAATGATGGCTAAAAGTAATAATAACTGAGCTAGTTTGTTATGGTTACACAGCCCACATTTTAGAACGTGGAATGTTGTGACATTTTTTTTTTACCAATCTTTATTGCAATTTTTTAAGAAAAGAATGGAACAAAGTAAATGAAAATGAAAAAAGTGGATAATGCAATGTTTAGGGTGTTTGTGTATAAAATGCATTTTTGCAAATGAATTTTAATTAATAAGGGGACAAAAAAAATAATAATTGTATTACTAGTACAAATGGTAATACAAATAATTATTAAACAATTTTCTGTTTTCCTTTGGTATTTAACTCCTGTACTAATACTATTATGTACTAATGTACGGGAGAACCAATTGTTTGGTCATTGCCTTTTCTCTTTGTTCACAGTAGAACAAAGAAGAAAGGTAAGGCAATTACAAGTAATTAATTAAAAAACTAATTGGAATCTGGTAGCTGCAGTGATTGAATCGCACGCTCTTGCTAATTAAGCAGTAATAACTAACAATTTTAATACTTGGAATAACACGAGGGGACCCACAATGGGTCAGGGGTGCAAAAAACTAGAGAGATCCTTGGAATTATCTTCAGCCCAAGAGAATACCATGACAGCTAACGTTGAATAAAACTTGCCCATTTTTGTGGTGAGCCATTTGCTTTGTTTTAGTGTGTTTTTATTTACATATATATAATCCTGTAAATTGCAGCACTGAAAAGCTTACAATGGGACTAGTACCTCCTCAGTGAGGGTTAAGGAATGTTTAAAAATTGTTTAAGTTATTTTCTCCCATTAAGATATTTAGCTCAACTCCCATTGCACAGATGTAAGGTAAAACATCTAATATCAGGAAGTACTACTTTACTGAGAGGGTAGTGGATGCATAGAATAGCCTTCCAGCTGAAGTGGTAGAGGTTAACACAGTGAGGGAGTTTAAGCATGCGTGGGATAGGCAAAAGGTTATCCTAGATATAAGAAAAGGCCGGGGACTAATGAAAGTATTTAGAAAATTGGGCCGACTAGATAGGCCAAATGGTTCTTATCAGCTGTCACATTCTATATTTCTATGTATCTTTTTGCAATTAAAGGACCACTATATTGTGGTCCTTTAGGTCCCCCCCATTCTCAGTGTCCCACTCTCACCGGGCTGAAGGGGGAGGAAGGGCTACCTCGGCACTGGGGGACTCTCCTCCCTCTTCCAACGTCAGCGCCGAATGCGCATGTGCGGCAGAGCTGCGCGTGCATTCAATCAGTCCATAGTAAAGCATTTCTCTCAATGCTTTCCTATGGATGTCAGTGTCTTCTCACTGTGAAAATCACAGTGAGAAGCACGGAAGCACCTCTACCGGCTGTCAATGAGACAGCCACTAGAGGCTGGATTAACCCTAATGTTTATCTGAAACTGCTATGTTTACTGCTTCAGGGTTAACCCTAGATGGACCTTGCACCCAGACCACTTTATTAAGCTGAAGTGGTCTGGGTGCCTATAGTGGTCCTTTAATTTGTGCTTTACCAGGATTACCAATGGAAGCCACCAATGGACTCAGGAAGGCTCATTAATTTGCTCTAGTCGGTTTGTGAGATACAAAAATAACAGAATGTGTTAACACCCACTATGTGGTGCCTTAGAATCAGGAGAGGATTCATGCTGAGATGTGGAGTTAACCCACCCTCCATAGGTCCTGGAATTTTACTGACATAACAGTTAGTACTCCAAATTGGCATATATATATATATATATATATATATATATATACACACACATTCCTCAAATAAATATAAAACCACGCTATGAAATTGGAAATGCTGTATGCTATAATATAATGCTATAATATATCCAGCTAGTTATCAAATTCTGCCTCTCCCAGGACAAGTACTTCAGAGATTTATAGAATGATTCATCAAGTACTTTAACAAGAATTCATAGTGCTCATCAGAGTGATGAATTAACAGCCGCTAGGTGATAACATATATTCGTGAAAGGGAGTCTGATTAACACATTGCAACATGTATTCCACCACATTACTAGCATTAAAGAGCCTCACATCCAATGCTGTTTTGCACAATAAAATTATCCACCCAAATATATATATATGGCTTTTTTTAATGTGTGCTATTTTCAAGATATTTTGTGCATAAGAAGGGATAATTTAAAATTATGAGCTTATCTTCCTGGTTGAAACAGACATTTATTTATACAGCCCCTTCATCACAGATCTCTCTTAATGTACATTGGCTATGCCATGTATCTCATGATAAGAATGATTTGCTAACTCCTTGAAGGAGTTATTCAAGCGGTTTATGAGGAATAACCACTTTTCACAATCAGAACCCAAACACAGGATATATGAACACATGCATTATTGATTGTACATGGTTGAACTGGGACTGCAGCATGCATTAGCTGAGATACTTAGACATGGTCTACTGGACAGCAAACAATGGACCAAAGAAAGATCTCCAGGAAGTACCTCTGACTGGTCATCCCGCTCATCGACTAGCCTTTTTAAATGGAATGCAGTGCTTTTAAGAAGAGAATCTACATCTTCTGGAGACAAATCTGCTGCATCCATTAGTTGCAGGTCAAATACGTTTTCCTGATTGTGTGTCACCTTACAGAAAGTAGACATAAGCAAATTAGCTGCACAAGTGACTTGCAGTCATTATGGATAAATAAAACACACACACACAGAACCCAAAACATTGTACTGTGAATTAAAAGCAGATATATTAGCAGTCCAAAGGAATACGGAGAGAAACATATTGCCAAATTGCTCCCAAAAGAAGTCTTGGTGCAGCTCAACACGCCATACCTCTCTTTAGAGGTTTCATATGCCTTTACCAACAAGCTGTGACATTAGCTGGAGAAGATTAAAAAAAACAAAAAAACAACTGACAAACAAAATAACCCTCCTGACACCCACACCCACATATTTCTTATGGTACTTGACCTTAAACAAGTAATTTGACGAATATGGATTATTTCAGTGCTACTCGTCACACAGTAATTGTTTGTTGTATTGTGTCTATATGATCGGCACAGACCAATCCTGTGGGTAGATTGGTCAAATTTTACAGCAGACCTACGTAATTATCAGTGTTATCACACATGTCTCCCAAAGCTGCCAACAATAATTAATGGTTAGGGAAGGGGCACAATGTAATTATGTAACATTGTATATCTCAATACGCAAGTGTATATTTGCTTCTTAAAAAATGTATAACTGATTAATCTCATTTGTCTTTATTTGGATCTTACACCTACCATGGAAGAGCAATCTTGACTCTATCAAGACCAATTGCATTCTTTATAGAAATTGCAATCTGATTCCTAATGTTCTAACGCTATCCTGCTTATTTCACATGGTAGCCCTATACAGCCCAGCTGTCACGAAAGGAATATGACATTTTACGTTGGAATCGAATATGTATGGACTACACGGTAATGTTGGCATAGATATCCTTGCTCATTAAGGGGTTAAAATTCTAGCTCTAACTTACAATGCTAAATAGCACTGCAGTCTACTGCAGTCTTAATCAGCAATAAACCCAAACGTTCATTAAGGACTTTCTTTCTTAACCTATTATAGTATCTAAGTTCCACCTACAACACTGTACCCACACTGTAAAAAATGATTACCTTGTTCTCTCCATTTCCTATCCTCTACAAATAACAAACCTCTCTGCCTTCCTCCACTAAAGCAATACTCTTCTCTTCTCATTCTAACCCACTGTACAAAAAAAAAAAAAACAGCTGTATTCTGTATCTACCAAAAACAACTCCTCACTAGAGTGTAAGCTCTAATGAGCAAGTCCATGAATTCCTGCAGTTTTTTTTGTAACAGTGCTGCTGATATGGAATCACTTGACAAATAATATCAGAAGCATGTGACGTTTGCGCGTATCTATAATCAGGCACAAACAAAGCAAACATCCAATATCGTTTTAATGGCCGTCTTACTACAGACACATACATAGTAAAAGGAAATGAACTCAGTGAAATGAATGAAGATTACATTTTTTTTTTTAAATGTAAAAAATCTAGTTGTGCAGCTGCACAAAATAGCTGGCGTTTAACCAAAAAGAAATGTAGTGTATGAGAAACTACAGCTACATCTGTCCTTTCTAACATTCAGTTCTCATGATCCCTACTTGTGGGATTACTTTGTTACAAACACAAAGGCATGGATTGATAACTATGTTATGATCTGCGATTAGTATTGCACAGATTGTCTGAATTGGGGCGTCCGATCTAGAACTTCCAGCTGTTGTAAGATTCTATTTCCCAGAATCCTCTCTGCCGGTCACTTTGGAAACTGTAGCCTTACAACAGCTTGAGAGGAAAAAAAACCCCCAAAAAACATGTTTACAGCGATTCTAACTTATTTTGTTTTCACAGTAAGCGCACTTGAACGAATCATAAAAGGTACCTCTTGAATATGAGCGGCAACTGCGGCCTTTGTGTCAAAATCCAAGTTCTGTATTCTTTCAATAAATTCTTCTTTTCTTTCACACTAAGACAAATAAGACAACAATATTCATTATTGTTCAATATATTAAAGAAGAAAATTAAATAAAGAATAAAATAATTATGATGCAATCTGGATTCGAAATAATGAGGTCAGTGTTTATTTAGCCATGTGACACGCACCATGCTGAAACAACAGGAGCACATTATCAAATACACCAATTCCAGAAAATTCGATCTCCACCGTCCTCTTCAATTTTGCTGCGTGTTTAATTGAGCAGGTTATTACTTCACCAGATCTCATTATTTCCTCCTACAATCTTTACGAAGCCTTGTGATTTTTTTCACATTAGCATTTGCGTCCTTTCGCTGAAGCATTTTTGGGGATACAGTTTTATTGGATTCTTCTCCTGGGGATGTGATTTACAATACTCTAGCTCGAAACACTCAGACAATTTTCACAGCTCTCTACCCAGATGTTCCTCAATATGAGCTCAGACACTTACACTTCATCTAAAGTCCCCAGCACAGAAAAGGCATTGAACAGTTTAACCACAAAATGTACAATATGGTTAAATCAATAACAGCCTATCTGTGTTTTATATCTCTATTACTTTGTGTCTTTCAACTTGGACTCTCGGTCACTTCTTTAGCATTGACCGCTTCTTCCTCCTTAATCTCTTGGTTTACCCTTTATCTGCTGTCTTAGTTTTAGTCCCCTCCAAATTCTGTTTTATGTCTCTCTCCTCTTCATCTGTCTCCAAGTGGCATTCCCTGATCCTCCAGTTACATCTGTCCCTTGCAGCCTGACCTCATGTCTGTTTCCTTCTGTCTCTCAGACACTGTAATAAGAACAGGATGGCTGATCTCCTCGCCGCTCGAGGCATCGCACAACCATCGGCCAACCACGGGATACAGTGATAAAGAGCTCTCCTAACTTTGTACCCAAACAATAGCAGGGTTATTCAGTAGGGTGAGAATTCAAAGTGAATTTCAAATTAAAGGCCAGAGTAGCTGAGCTGAAGCATAGCAGACTTAGAGAATTTAAACAGTTTGCTATTTTGACTTTGAACTTTCACTTTTGTAAATAACCATGCAGGGACAAACTAACATGTTTAATGAACAATAGGCAGGAGATTTGTACAGTACAAGGTGCAAATAAAATGTGGCAAAAAAATAAAATGGGACTTGATGGGAGCCTGCAGGGCTATAATGAGAATTACAACCGTGGATGTGTGGGCTATGTTTGGCAAATAGCTGATGGGGATGGTTTAACTTCTTATAGCTCACTCCCTCAGGTAACTACTGTAGGAAGGGCCAGAATTCCGATGGGGGATTGCATTTTAAACCGTAAATCAGAAAAAAAATGATTTAATTTCCACCACCTCCAATACAATAAAGCACCACTCAATGTTAACCGTTTGTGGTTCACAACAGTCCCAGTGTCCAGTTTTTGTTTTGCGGTTTCCATGATGATTAACCCTTTATGCAGACATGCACAGATTGTTGTCCTGGATGTTCTAGATGGTTAACCCTTTGTACTGGGAAACAACGGGGTGTGTCCCCTAGCTATGATCACAGGCTCATATTTCTCTCGCTCATAGTTTAATTATGTGCAATGAGCTTATTAAAACAAATGATCACATCTAGATCATTTGTAATTGTAAAATTAATTGAAGATTTAAAAGTTAATAAACTTACCTGTACTGCACAACCCAGCATTAGGAGGAGAAGTCTCTTCACTTCTTCCGTAGCTTGTTCTGCCAAATATAAAGAAATCTATATTTTAGAAGTAACTTTTTAAATAGGTTTTTTAAAAATTGTATCTCCAATGATTTATTCTCTCTGTTAAAAAAATCTTGGTCATTGTCCTGACACTCATATAGCCGTGATTGGATTCCGGACTAAGCCCACTAGTCAGAGGAATTGTATTTGGAGCACATTGTTTCATTAACACTCTTTAAAACCATCATTTGATACAATCAGTGAACATATGATACCAGAGGATGCAGCATCATCACAGTTGCCAAGGACAACGACAGAATAAAACTGTGACTGACATTTCAAATTTAATCAAGGAGAGTGATACTAAATACGGTATTTCATCTTGCATGTTGTTATCAGCAACATCTGTACGCATAAAGAATCACATTTTACCGAGCATCTCTAGGAGGCTACGCTATGGACAAATAAAGAGAAAATCCTCACACAGAAGAAAGACCTCAATGAGGCACCGGGTGGTAATGTACAAAGTGGGGGAAGAAGAGGTTTGGGGTTATAATGGGGCCATGAGAGGGAAGACTGTGAAAGTGGCAAACCGGAAAGGAGTTAAAAAGAGACATAGAATAGGGGTCACACACAGGACAGGGGAGTACAAGAAGGACCGGGGAAAAGGGTCGCAGACTCAGTGGGGGATGCAAGAAGAATCAGATGAGGGACAGAAGACAGGAAGAAAGAAGTAACACAACTTGAACAATGTCAACAAAAGGGACTAAAGATAAAAATTGAAAAAAAAAAAAAAGGAAGAAGAAACGGACTGGGGGCTGCAAAAAATATAAAATAAACAAAAGGCAGAAGGAAACAAACAAAAAAAAATAATAGAACTGTGTGAGATGAGAAATGGGAATTCCAGATAATATAAATGGACAAATTGATGAGGAAAGGAATAGAAGAAAACAAAAATGTGTTTAGGTCTATAAAGATAGGCAGATGATTTCCCCAATATTACCTCCTCAGGATATCCTATGTCTTAGGATATGACTGGTTGTATGGACTGGATTATGACATTGTCATATTATGATTTACCTTGCTGCAATCTAAGGGGCTAGATATTGTCTACTTACTATTTTAAGGTATCTGCATTATTTTAAAGGCAGTTTTTTAAAAGCTGGAAGAGTATTATTAATGAAATGTATATTTAAAAATGTAAAACAAAACACATTGGAACTTTGTTTATATTAAAGGGACAGCCTTGGCACCAAAACAACTTTAGCTTAAAGGGACACTAGAGTCACCAGAACAACTACAGCTTAATGTAGTTGTTCTGGTGAGTACAGTCAGTACCTGCAGACCTTTTGCTGTAAACATTGCTTGTCAGAGAAAAGACAGTGTTTACATTGCTCCTTAGGGACACCTCCAGGTGCTGTCACTCAGACAGCCAATAGATGTGCTTCCTGTGTCAGTCAAAGTCTCCATGCTCTGCATGGATATGCCAAACTTTCTTCATAGGGATGCATTAATTTCCCATGGGAAAGCATTGGATTGGCAGAGATTATCAATTCTGATGATCTCTGCCAAGGGGGCAGATCAAGGGTGAGGTTAGCGCCAGCAAATCCATACAGCACAGGAATAAAGGTAAGCAAACTACTTATTTAAGAAGGGTAAAGGGAGGGGAACAAGCGGTCACCTAACAAATGTGATTATTTCTGATGACTTAAAGGTAGGCAGACAATGTAATAAAGCAGCAGGAAATGCTAGCAGAATGCTTGGTTGTATATGGAGAGGTATTAGCAGTAGAAAGAGGGAAGTGCTCATGCCATTGTACAGAACACTTTGAGTATTGTATGCAGTACTGGAGACCGTATCTTCAGCAGGATATTGATACTTTATAGAGAGAGTTCAGAGAAGGGCTACTAAATTGGTTCATGGTTTGCGGGATAAAACTTACCAGGAAAGGTTAAAGGATCTTAACATGTATAGCTTGGAGGAAAGACGAGACAGGGGGGATATGATAGAAACATTTAAATACATAAAGGGAATCAACACAGTAAAGGAGGAGACTATATTTAAAAGAAGAAAAACTACCACAACAAGAGGACATAGTCTTAAATTAGAGGGACAAAGGTTTAAAAATAATATCAGGAAGTATTACTTTACTGAGAGGGTAGTGGATGCATGGAATAGCCTTCCAGCTGAAGTGGTAGAGGTTAACACAGTAAAGGAGTTTAAGCATGCGTGGGATAGGCATAAGGCTATCCTAACTATAAGATAAGATTAGGGACTAATGAAAGTATTTAGAAAATTGGGCGACTAGATGGGCCGAATGGTTCTTATCTGCCATCACATTCTATGTTTCTATGTTTTTAACACTATAAGGTGAGGAATACACATTTGTATTCCTACCCCAATAGTGTTTCTTTAATGAAGCAGTTTTAGTGTGTAGAGCGGTCAGCAACCTATGGCACATATGTCATACATGGCACTCGAGGTGCATTTGCACAGCACTCAACGCTGCCAGAGACAAACAGGTTCAGGCATATCAGGAATCCCAGCAGGACTTCAAATATCTGCTAGTGCGAACTGAGCTATGATTGCAGGTGGTGAGGGACAACCCGCAATTTACAGATTGCAGCACTTGTGAACGGGAATCTGCACTGGAGTAGAACAGCCTGTAGCAGTTATCGCTGCTCCTGTCCTTGACCTGTACCTGGCTAGCCCGGTCCCTACTGGACCTCAGGGAAGTCACCAACACTTCTAGATATACACAGATCTACGAATAATACAAATAGCTCAGAAACAAAACACACACACACACACACACAGTCCCTACAAACACAACACCACTGACAATCCACGTACATGCACACAACCCCACAAGCAGCCTCATGCAATACCACAAGCAGCCCCACAAATACACACACACCAAACACACTATGTGACAATTTCACATGCAGCCCCCAAACACAGCCCACCTTCATAGATAGTATACCACAAATTACTCATGAACATATACAATATAACAACAGCCCACATACGCACAAATACTATGCTATAAAGCAACTGCAGCACCAAGAAATAACACAAGCAGAGTACGGCAACATACAGACCTCAACTGAAAAGGAAAAAAATAGGACTGGGACGCCAAGGAACTTCAAGATTTTGTTTTGGCACAATACTACTAAAAGCGTGCCTACCCATGGTATAGATCATGCTGCTGCAGTCTCACTGCTCACTTCTCTGTCATTTAGGAGTAGATCACTTTTGTTTCTGTTTAAGCAGCCTGAGTCACAGCTCCCATGGCTGCGGAGTCACACAGCATACATTATTATTTTTTTATATAGTGCCAGCAAATTCCATAGTGCTGTCCAATCGGTTAAATGTTCTATTAGATGTTACAGCACATTGTGTTTCATTTAGAAGTTTTTATCTCCTGCTCTTTTAATTGAACTTCAAATCACACAAGTCTCCTGCAGGCTCTAGCACGCTATTAACAGACCATGAGGTAAGAAATTCTAAATTAAACAGACTGTGCAATAAATGAAGTTTAAACATTAGCTCTCTATTTACATTAAATCTGTTATGGAGACTGTGTAGGTCACATGCATGGTAGGTGTGACTATGGCTGTATAAAAAAAGTGGTTTAACCTCTAAATAGCAGAGAATTGAACAGTGAGACTGCAGTAGCATGCTCTATACCCTAAAACCGCTCCAATGTTTGGGTGCTTATGGTATCCCTTTCAAAGAAAATCTACAAAAAAGTTGTACTTTGGCGAAGTATAATGAATTTATCAGACTTCTTACATATTGTCTGAAAAAGGTAATTATACCATGTGCAGAACCTATAAGAACACATTAATATTTCTCAAGTGACCTCCAAATGTAGCAAACTAAGCTGGTTTGTAAATTACTGAAATACAGGAAATATATTAAGTTACTCACCAGAAAATGGATTTTTTCCAATAACTAAAACGTTTGGCAGAGTCATCATAACCAACTGTTGTAAAGATTCCTGTGTGACAAAAAGGAGCGTTAAATACTTGCAAAAATATACACATGGTTAATACAAATTATGGACTATAACCCAGGGCTCAACAAATTTGTTTAGAATCTAGGAGCCAGCTAAAAAAGTTAGGAGACAGTTTTATTAAAACTAGCGATGTTTAATTTATGAGAAATATGCAATTCTTAAAGGACACTATAGTCACCAGAACCACTACAGATTAATGTAGTTGTTCTGGTGCCTATAGCCTGTCCCTGTAGCCTTTTCAGAGAAAAGGCAGTGTTTACATTGCTGCCTAGTAACACAGTGTGCAGCACCTTTGTTCAGCGTCTCCATGCTTTGCATGCAGGTGCTAAAGGTTACCCATAGAAAACATGCTTTAAGGCCCACTATAGTGCCAGGAAAACATACTCGTTTTTCTGGCACTATAGTTCCCTGGTGGGGGCCCACTCCCGCCGGGCTCTGGGGGGAGGAAGGGGTTAAACTAGCTCTCCTCCTCCTCTCCGGCTCCACTCCTCCTTTTCGGCTGAATGTTAACCCCAACATAAACATAGAAGTTTCTCTGAAACTGCTATGTTTATAAAAAAAAAAAAAAAAAGGGTTAACCCTAGCTGATCCAGGCACCCAGACCACTTCATTAAGCCGAGGTGGTCTGTGTGCCTATAGTGGTCCTTTAATATACCCCCAGTGCTTTCCTATTGGAAATCATTGGTTTAGCGAAGATTTTAAAGATCAATTATCTCAGCCATAAAGGCAGGACAAGCCACAGCGAAACCGGCACGGCATGGGAAAGAAAGTGAGTAGAAACACCTCTCTCATGATCGGAGGGGTGCAGGTACCTAAGCAGGCACAGAAAGACACACTCTGACACACAGACAAATTGACATTTTCCACTGTCATTTTAATCCACCCAGCCTTCCTACCTTTGGGAGAGCTGAGTGGATTTTTCCCTGTGGTCCAGTTTGCTCATCCTGCGTGCGAGGGAGCAGTAATCTACCTGCAGCTCCCTGTAGTGATACCGGGGCCGGAATGACGCCATATTCTGGCTACCAGCATCACTGTACAGCGCGAGGGAGCAGAGAGGAGCTACAGGAAGATTACTGCTCCTCCGCACGCTGCCTCATGCATGATACCCAGGGCGGCCGGCCGGCTCCATTGTTCCCCCATCCTGCCGCTTTAGCTAAAGGGCTTCAAATCCCAGGCGCCAGGGCAAAATTTCTAGTCAAAGAACTTTGTTCACATGATATGTACTGTGTTTCATTTACATTTTAAGGAAAAATAAAAAAAAGACTGCTGTAAAAGATGGTCTTCCCCACAATTATCTCAGAAATTTGCAATGCAGAATATGCTAATACAGATTTCAACCCACGTTTCTGTGCACTCAATAGACAGGCCAGCAATGTGATGTACAAAAATGCAAAATCAGTCAGCACGTTTATAATTTTGTTTTACAAATGACATGGTCCAATTAGAACTTTTAGAATATCAAAATCTGTTACTATGCTGAAAAGAAAACTAAATGCGTAGTCCATTTCAGAAAATCTCTGAACAACACACACACACATACACGAATGTCAAAAAAGGCTTACATAATTTAGATTTGTAAAAGGATTATGGAGAAATTTATACATGTTATTTATACATTTACATGAACGTACCATACAGTCACCAGTTGTTTTAGGTCTTTTTCAGAACTGAAAAGCCATAAAATATAATTTGTTACGTTTGCACACATGATGACAGTGTTTTGATTGAATTTAACACCTGAGTTCCTCCTTCCTTCCATGAATCATTACATTTTACAGTGACTCGTCTTATTTGATCAATGGAAGAGGAGACACGTTGTTGGCACACCATCTGAAATGCCACCATTAAAACCACAGAACAAAAGTCGCCTTTTTATGGCCCTATCAGATGTTTAAGAAGACAGCTCAGAAGCCAGCTGTTCGATTAGAAGGCCGAATCACAAGTTGCCAAATAAAATTCTAATAAGAAGCACAGAGTACAAAATATTTAACTCCTACAGAAAGGGGAAAAAGTATACGTCACAGAGTGACAATTCAGACTGTAATAACTGTATTAACGCAACTGTAATGGGACGGTTGACTTTTGATATATTTAAATTCCTCAGTATTTATAAAAAAAATAAATAAAAAAAAAAAGCTAAATTGCAGCTTCTATTGTCTGAAGTGTGGTTTAATTTATGGTATTATATGAATAATATAATTGTGTCGGAGCATACATGTGGTGGCCTTATGGGTATTGAAAAAATGCAGTACAGCAACTCTATAGGACAGTACATCTATATGTGATGCTGTACCAACACATATCACTTCACTAGCCTGGAACTCCCTTACCTTTTGTGTCACTATACCCCACTCCCTCTAGCATGTAAGTTCATTGAGCAGGGCCCTCAACCTCTCTGGTGTCCAACTCGTCTGGTTACAATTACATGCTTGTTAGTCCATCCATTGTACAGTGCCGCAGAATGCGTTGGCGTTATATAAATAATAATGATAACTGTCCCAGACTGCCTAATGGTAACTCTGTGCAAAAAGTACATCTGTTGTCAGCACGCACTGCCCGCTGGGGACAGTTGTAATTGGCTTCTGCAAAGAAAAAAAACCTAGGATGTTACCTCCCTATCTCCTGTGAGTGTTCTGAGCCCTGGCTCCCTACGTTTTCCATAGTAGGCCCTTTAGAATTTTTTTTTGATTTAAAGCCCACCACTTGTCCACTCCACACTCCCTTCTCCACCTCGTCTCAGAGAGAGCGCATGTGCTGAGACTTGAGATCAGTCCAATCAAAGGATTCTCTAAGAGAAAGGGAAGAAGTGACGTGACATACTGACCGATGGAGGATAGAATGAGGAGAACCTTGCTTAACACTAGACTCAAGGTAGCTGTATTCTTATTTTACAGGTTTTGTTATTGAAAAAAAAAAATAAAAAAAAAAAAAAGGCTGGACAAAGTTAATAATGTCAAATAGGGCATTATAAATAAAACTAACAAATAAATTGTATGTATCTTTATCTTTTATTACTTTAGACTTTTTTTTATTTTTATTTTTTTTAAGTGCATTATCTAGGCAATGCTTAAAGAAAAGGAAAGGATCAATTCACTCCTGGAGTGACCTTTTAATGATTTAGGCTAATTTTTAGTGTAAGATAATTCTTTAGCGGTAATCTTAACAACTTGAAGTCTAGCTCTTTAATACACAGGAGTCAAATGATTGCCTGCAAGGCAAAATATGAAGGCAGATTAAAATTCCCCGGAGGGATTAGTGAAATTGCTGAGCAAGTATTTTAATTTTTAATACGTTTTGCTTCCATCGCAACTTTATAACATATTCGCTCAAGTTTGTATCAAAGGCCACATATGTAAGGTATTTATACAGAATATAAAAAAAATGAAACAATTATGCAATCCCTTTTCTTACAAGATGCTTGTCTTTTCATAAGAACAGGCGACGTGACACACACACACACACACACACACACACGACAATTCCCTTGTCTACAGCTTTTATAAGGTTTCTGGCCCTCCAATGGACTTCTGGGATACACAATTCAGTAGCCCCCATGTTGTTTAACATCTGAAAATAAATAAATAACTCTGAAAGCTAATATAAGTTACAGAGTGGGCAGTGGAGGGTTAATATTATACCTACTGCGTGCTAGGCATTCTGGGATACCATATATAGCTTTTACTATTTTGGCAGGGAGCAGGCACTCATAATATATATTTTTAAATCACCTTTTGAAAAATAAAATATTTTAGGACGTGCACGAGAGATGTATTATATCTAGATGGATACAAATGTACATAATGGATAAGATGGCGCATGGCTTTCTCAGCCTCTGAACCTCAGTGTCTGCTTACAAATGCCTCAGACTGTGAGTGTGTCTTGTATCATGCTGCATTAATCCAGCATTTCCCAATTGGTGTTCCGCGCCATTTTGCCACATCCAAGATGGCCGCTGCTACCTGCTGTTCCCGGAAGGTCTGAATCAGCAGAGAGCGCGGGGGCGCGATCTTAAGTCCGCCCTGCCACCAGCCCGTCTTGGCATCAGCACACCATGCCATCAGAGCCCACTCTAGGGCCCGCCTTGTCATCAGCCAGCCACTTAGCTTGTCCGTGAGAGAGCCCTCCCGGTCTTCAGCCAGTCCGTCCAGCAGTCAGTCAGTTTGTCCAGCAGACAGCCATTTTCAATCACTCCTGGTAGAGGAGTGATAGAGAGTGGAGCTGATAGTTAAAGCTCTGTTATTGTCATATAAAGCTTTTTAAGGTAGGGACATAGAAAGCTCTGTTAGGGAGGGGCACTGAAAGCTCTGTTAGGGAGGGGCACTGAAAGCTCTGTTAGGGAGGGGCACTGAAAGCTCTGTTAGGTAGGGACATAGAAAGCTCTGTTAGGTAGGGACATAGAAAGCTCTGTTAGGGAGGGGCACTGAAAGCTCTGTTAGGGAGGGGCACTGAAAGCTCTGTTAGGGAGGGGCACTGAAAGCTCTGTTAGGGAGGGGCACTGAAAGCTCTGTTAGGGAGGGGCACTGAAAGCTCTGTTAGGGAGGGACACTGAAATACTGTCAGGGGCATTGAAAGACTTTGTCAGGGGCAAAAACTGTTAGCTGTATTTTGCAAAGTGTTCAAATCTTTTTGCTCCAAGTCTAACTCAAAATTCCTGCTTTAGTTCAGTTCTTTCTATGGGCGTTATTAAAATCAGCATCATTTTCAGTCAGGTTGTGAGATCTGTATTTTTTTTTTTTTTAAACCAATAAACAATTATGAATTTGGAAAGCTGGTTAAAGCAGGGAACTCTTCAGAGAAACATTATTACTACTTCTAACTGTTCGGCAAAGAAGATACAACTAAAAATCCAGAAAACATGCCAGAAATAGTTGTACCTACTGTTCCTCAAATAGAAGAGACAAATGACAAGTCAAAAAAAATTAAAATAAAAGCACACAATGCTAGTCAAACATCTCAAACGAAGAAAAGAAAATATGATGACAGTT